CGACGGCCGGAGAACAAAATACACCTCCGGCAAGACCCACCGTCGTCGAAATATGCGTCGACTGAAAAAAAATAGCAGAAACAGATCGAGTTCTCCAAACTGAATGAAATCCCCACCAAAATAAAGAGCTCGAAGAGAGAAATCCAACGGTAGTTAAACCATCGAATTCCGACCACCAGAGAGAGAGTTATGACTCTGGGAAGCAACTTCGCCGGTTGGAGATATATGGAGGCAGAATTTGAATCTGGGAGTTGAGAGAGGAAGATAGAGACGACTGTGAGTGGCTAGGGCTTAAAACTGATTTTAAAAGGGCACTATAGGTACTTCAGGGTGACCGAGGGGGGTATGTCAAAATATTTTCAAAATGAGGGGGTTTCCCATAGAGTGTAATCAGCTTGGTAGTTAGTTCTATATGATTTGGAAATGAGAGGGATCTGCAAAATAATCCCTATAATTTATTGTCTCGTATATGTATGCAATGGCGAACTGTTAATAATGCTGAAGTAGGAGTAGCATACCTCACCGCAACTGATTTTTCTTTTTGTGGCAAAAAGTATCCGGTAAAATATCCAACAGCAGAAAAAGCCCTTGTGATAAAAAATATCATTAAAACTCGTTCCACTAGTGAGTACGTGTTGCTAGCACTCGCAGTTTGTGCGGATGGTGATAATTTTTTTGACGAAAAAAACACAGAATTACCCCCAAATAATACAAATTGGCTTACTTATAAAGAATCCAAAAATGTTAGGATCAAATTGTAAATTCCGAAAATTCTCGCTTGTACCTAGGGGTGGATTTGATAGGACAACCGTATCAATTCCCTTGAGTCACTACCATTACTGAAATTTCAGTATTATGAAATTCATTATCATTGCTGATCCGAACTGTTTGCCCTTAGAGATAAATGAATGGTGAGCCCAATAGAATTGAGGCCTAAGTCCTAAAAAGGAGGGCCATAAGCTCAAGACTAGGGAGGGGGCCCAATTGTAATAAACGATGGTATATCGGGCCAGTGGCGGACGAGACACACAAAAGGAAGCTGTGTACGAGATAAAATCATGTCATTGTGGCGAGTTAATTCTGCATCTCGATAGGTCAACGTAACGTACCTTCCTCAACCTTCAGAGACTAAAAGTATTCAGACAGTTCTGAAGAAAAATGCACATATGACAAAGACTTATACTGGCAGATGGATGGAGAAAAGAATCGATAGTAATCAGCCACGTGGCAGAGTAAGTAGTAGTAGGGCGGCGATTTTGACCTAGAAAATGTAATATATGGCCCAAAAAAGGCCCATTTTACTTGTTACTATATATGGGGTCATTTTTAGGCTAGAAAGGGTTCCTACCTTTGATCATAACACACAATACATATTTTACTTTCTTGCCTTTAAAAAGGGATAGATATTATCGATCAAGTGGTGCTTCATTATATAATATACATTGATCTATCACATATTCATCTAGATAAATTCATTTAAGGTCATTTCTCAGGCATACTAGTAAGTCTAGCCCATTAAGGTCCACAAAATGATCTTTATGATTCATATACCAATATAAAAGTCCAATATAATCTTGTGTGGCCAATATGGTCGCATCAGTTGCCCTACTAAAAACATCGGTGTACCAGAAGTTCGACATAGTAAGATATGGTAATGGTAATTAACAATTTATGTTATCTACTATTTAAGTTTAAATTGAATATTATTTTTTATTTAAGTTTAAATTGAATATTATTTTTTCAAAGCAATTTAAGGTATATATGTTTAAAATGTAAAAAGACTAGTTTTTGAAATAGAAGTATTTTAAATATATGTTCTTAATTTACCTAATATAAAATATTTGCTAAATAAAATTATAAAATAAAAACTTTTCACATCAATTGTATCATCATTAATAAAAGTAATTTATAATTTTTTTACATACCTCAAAAGTATAATTAATTTTGACTAATAGTACCTTGAATAATAGTTAGCATACTATTATCACTTTTTATATATAATAAATGAATTATTAAAATATTATTAATAATATTTCGATAAAGTAGGATAATATCATTTTAATAATATTGAGTGTCGTTGCTCTACCAAAACATCTAAGTAGGATACGATAGGGTATAGTAATAATTGGTAGAAATATTTTGGTAGAGAATCGGTAGAACAACGAATTGGTAGGACAATTTGCTAAAAACAACTCACCCCTACTTATTACCTCTCTCCGGCAGCAAAGTGTCACCGGCACTATCATTAACTCGTCATCTTCTACTCGCCGGAATTACATCTCAACGGCACCACCATCTATCGTCATCATTAATTTCGTCGGCGGGGAGGATTTTAGGGTGGCGGCTCCGTGCCGGGCCGGGCCCGCAATAGAGTTCGAACACCGAGCAGGCCACTACTCAGCACAAGGCTCTCAGAATCTCAGGTTCAGCACAAAGGATATGTTGGCGCCAGATTTCCGACTATTGAAGATCGAGGAAATCCGCCGAGTTTTGGAATTAAAAGATTGGCAAAGATTTGTTTTCCATATTTATTTTGGAATTTATTAGAGTCCTATTCTTATAATACTTCTATTAGGACTTAGATTTATTTCCACGTATTTTATTCTAGTTAGGTATCTTTTGTACTTATCTAGAATAGAAGTAGAAATCAACTAGGATTCTATTACCTAGTTAAATCGATTTCTTAGGGCCCAAGTCAGGTCTTAGGGCTTATTTTCGTGGCTATATAAGCCTCCAAGACATACAAGAACCGTGGGCATTATTTGGGAGAAAAACCACTTCATAGCATCGAAGCTTTGCCAAGGCGTTCTGCGGAGCAGGACTGTGCCATCGTTGCACTGTGCCAACATATACAGATTTGCTGTATAGATCTCAAGGGAGATCAGCCGCGTTTTCTGAAGGGAGTTCAGGCTTGAAGAAAGTTCAAGGCACGCGGAGTGGATCTGCTGTAGAGAGAGACACGGAGTTCGAGTTGTGTACAAGAACGGCGTAAAAATTAAAGAGGGAGTCTTTATTGTTTTTAATAAGTCCTATTAATGTACACTGTAAATCTGAACTAGTGAAATCGTGTTTGCAGGTCCACGTGGATGTAGGGCACATTTGTGTCTGAACCACATTAATTTCTTGTGTTCATTTATTTGCTTTAAGGAGTTTATAACTGTGTTAACACAAGAATTATAGTTGTAACTGAATACTGTTTCCTCAACTTAACTGTTACAACTTAGGTTAATTGATTTCTATAGGCATATAAATCAACAGGATAGAGCCGACGGCTAATTAATTTCTGGTGCGAAATTTTTTGCCTAGGTTTAATTCTACAAATTGTTGCTGCAATAATTGTCGATTTCATCGGTGAGGATGAGGGATTGGCCACGGCGGTGTAGTTTGAGGCGAGGGAAACTGACGGAGGAGGAGGTGTGTGGTGGCGGCGCCATCGGTAGTGACCATCACCATCGTCGGCGGCGTTGTGTTGGAGAAGAGATGGAATGGTTAGTTACAGGGTGTCCTCGGCGTGTGTTTTACAGGGGTGCTGGAGAGAGAAATTATGTGCAATATTTTTTATTGGGAAATTGCAATCAAGTCCTTTATTTCAGTTTCAGAAAATTAGCATAAATTGCAAGTTTGTCCTTTTACCTTCGGTCAACGACCGAAAGCACAATGGGTCGGACGGAGTTAAAAAAATCACATCGAGTATTTTGCTAAATTTATCACATGAAGAATTTCACTATTTCGGTTTTAAACTGATATTTTTTGCAGTTTACTCCCTGACTGAAACACGTGGAATGTGGAATTCCACAATTTGTTTTTTAACTCTCTTATTTTTAAACTAAATTTTAGTTATAGGCTAAGTAGTGCTTAGTGGGTTAAGTATAGTGCTTAGTGAACTAAGTATAATGCTTAGTGGGCTTAGTGGGTTAAATTGAGGATATTATCTTAACTATTAAACTAACCCACTAACCCATGTTTTTGAGTGCTCTTGTAGTTGGTTTTCTTGCAGATCATGGGCTGAGGAGTGGATGCTTGGAATGTCTATAAATACCGGCTTCAAGACTCAGGGAAGTTGATGGATTCTAAGAAATAAAAACCGAGAGCTGAAAAGAATACATTAGATTTTTAGTGTGTTTTTAGAATCTGTTTTACGTACTTCTCATGAGTACATTCTTTACGTACTCCTCATGAGTACATTCTTTGTAGTCTAGATTGTTTAGTATATAGTTTTTATATTTCTAGACTTGATTGTAAGAATGATCAAGATAGTGATTCATTCATAAGAAAGAAGTTCTTTACGTACTCCTCACGAGTACATTCTTTGAAATCTAGAATTTTTAGTATTTATATTTTCGTTTATAGATTTGATTGTAAGAATGATCAAGTTAGTGATTCATTCATAAGGAAGAAGTTTTTGTCCTTCTTCTCTTTGTATTCTTGTAATACTGTTTTAATATAAATTTTACGTCCTTTAAAGGGCAAATTCACAAGTTTTTACTTGTGAACATTTTTAATCTGAGTATTGTTCTTATATTTCTGCTGCATGTTTATACAAGTGTCATAACACTTAATATAATACATCTGTATTAAACGAATCCGGGACCATAAATTCTCTCACTAACAATTTAATTCAAATCCATAACAAAGTCAAAAGATTCGCATGTACTTGTTTTTACATACAATATTTATCTGAAAGTTTTTACGTATATATTAAGAAAATTAAAATATGCATTAACTAAAGTGTGTTAAAATATGTTTTTCCCATTGATTGTTTATATATCCAATAATTCTCTCTGAGCAAATTCAAAGTAGTATACATGGGCAAAATTGGAAGAAGAAAAAAATCTACAAATCGATAAAACAGTTTAGCAAAATAACTATTTAAGATTTTCACTTAATTATGATAAACATATATATATACACATTCGATTAATTACAAATTTTTAGCATTCCATAATCCATAAAATAAACCTTACAATATGATACAACATATAATCACTACATACATTATATTAATCACAAATTTGCAAAGAACCCAACTCCTCAAAACCATGCAAAGAAGCCGCCGCCTCCGCCGCCGCCGCCATGGCAACTTCACCAAGGTTTTGAAGATTCAACTTCACAATAGTGTCAACAAACATCCTCGTATCTTCCCTAGTATTCCCCTCCGGTATTTCAACACCGTACGACTCCAACACCACACAGTAAACCCTATTATTAGCATCACTAATAATCACGTCATTAACGGAGGTTACCGACACGTAATCCCTCAGCCTGTGGTCCCCACCAACAACCCTGAAGCTCAGAACCCTATTCTCCTCGTCCAGGATCTCCAGCCTCTCGTCGCTCGTCGACGCCGGCAGCCCCGACACCACTGTCACGCGCCGCCGGCTGCCGACGGTGCTGCCGTCGCCCTCCACCAGCTCGCAGCTCTTGGTGAAGTGCTTGTACGCCTGCGGGCGGCCGAACGCGCGCACGAAGTGCCAGACGGCGGCCGCCGGCGCTTCGATGCGTTGTACTATGAGGGAGGTACAAGTGTTGCTGCTGCTGCTGTTCTGCATAGGATGGTGGTACCTTTGGATGATGGGTTCGAGGAAGGCGATCTCTTGTTCGGTGAGATGGGCGTGCTTTGAGTGTTGTACGTTGGAGGGTGGTTCCATGGCAATTTTCTGGAAAATATAATGGGATGATTTTGAACGAGAATTTATTGGGGGTTGATTGAATATATACTAGAATTAGTGGGCCATTTTTGGTATTTTCTAATCTATTTAGTGCCCCAATTTTGTTGTATGGAGAGAAAAAAAAAACACACAGAGAGAATGCACAATACAAATTGAACATTTATAAAATAAATAAAGGAAAAATTACATTTTCACCCCTCAAGTTTGCACTAATTACACATTTGGTTCTCTATGTTCAAAAAAAATATATATTTAGTCCCTCGTGTTTCAACAATTTGACATTTTTGTCAATTTAACGTCACTCCGACAGTTAAGGGAGTAATGGAAAAATGCTTGATTCCATCACTGCTAACAGAAAATTGACGGAAATTGCTAAAAGTGTTGAATTTTTGAAATATGAGGGACCAGATATATTGTTTGTGAAACATGGTAACTAAATATGAAATTGGTGCAAACTTGAGGGACCAAAACTGCATTTTTCCCAATAAATACATTAATTAGCAAGAGGACCAAATATATAATATAACAATACTAAATAAATTAAAAAGATTACTTAGCAAGAGGATCAAATATATAGCAATGGTTGCTCTTGGATGTGGCAATGTGGTCCATTGTTATATTTGGTCATATAGTTTTAAAATGTTTAATTTGTATAATTTTGATCAAATATACCAACATTTAGTACTTATTTTATGTTCTTTATGACAAAAAAATCTAAAAATAAAAATTTGAGGGCGTTACACTCGAATTTCTGTATATTTTAAGTCCACTCTAATACAAAATTCGATTGTGGAAGATATTTTTATTTTGACTTTATGAGTGAAAATGAGATTAATAAATAAATAAATAATATTACAATGTCAAATAGCTATATTATAATAAATTGATGTTGTAGAAGATGACTATGACGAATGAATCCATCGAGTATATATATTTGAAAGTTGAAGCAAAGATTTTTTTTGAAATAAAATAAATAGCTCTTTGGTACCAATAATTATCATTTTAAAATAGTGTTAATTAATTATATTCCAACTTGATGAATAAAATTAAGAAATTCACGATATTTCCCATGCAAGTTGGATATAAGAAAAATAAAAGTAATAAATTTAAATATTCTAAAGCACTAATTGGGTTGACAACTTGGACACAAAATTAATGAAATTATAAAAAAGTAGAGCCACTAAGCATAATTATGAAACTCTCTTGGATTTCCAATATTTTGATTGCATAAAATATGGTCAATTTGCATTATTATTAATGAATATATTAGGTCCCATTTGACTAATTTATTTTAGACAATATGTATTTATTAGATTTTTAAGAGCTGATAAACTGCTATGTATTTATTCTTAAATTAATATTTAAAGTTTGAATAATGAACTTAAAATCTATTTTTACTCATTATAAGATCTTAAATAAATAAATAAATTTAAAAAAAAATAGAGTATTTAGAAGAAATCTTAAAGCTCTCCATCAGCTCATTTTCTTGACTATTTAAATATATTTTTTTTTTAAATTATCAAACACTTTGAAATAGTTTCTAAGTTCTTAAACATCTCATAAGCCCTTTCTAACAGTTGTTTTAACAAATCCATCGAGTCTATGGGTCTGACTTGAATATATCGAAGGTAATACCTCATTCGGTTTAACATAAATAAATAAAAAATAAAAAAATGAAGATTTGGTTTCTCAAGCTCATTGGATTAAAGAATATGCTTTGTAAAAATTAATCACTTCAATTTCGAGGGATTAACAAAAAAGCCTAGCAATTAACATAAACATTATGGGCTTGGTGAACTAAACCATGACTTTATTTTGGGCCGGACTATGCTCAAGTAAACTCGAGTTTCAAAATATAAATGGGCCAGGGTTTGTAGATCCAATTAATATAAAAAATATCTCGGTTTTTTTTCTTTTTTTTTTGATAAATAGTTTTTTTTGCATTTAAGGGTACTATAATTTTTTTTTTAGATTCAATTTATTAAATATTTACATCTTCTCTTTCTTCTTAATATTTGCCATTTTTCACATATTTTCTTTATAACTTGTTTTGCTAGTACTAAGATTATTTGATTTCGAATACCCCTATTAATATTGATTAAAAAGGATGACTATCGAATACTGCACTATTAATGTAGCAGAAACTTTACCCGAGATTTATAGAGCTCAAACTAGTAGGTAAGAAATATTTCCCAACAAATCTTCCAATCAGATTCGTTTGATTTCACCCATATACGATATCGTAACATTAGCCAAAAGAAAAAAAAAAGGGAAAAACCATTAATTTGAGGAGCAAAAAGCATATTCCATTTCTTCACAAAAAGACACCAAATCTTACAAACATAAAATAGAAAAGAGTGATAGGGGCCAAAGCTTGACTTAGTTTTTCTTTTGGCCTAATTTTGTTTGTTTTTGGCAATTTCCCTAATTACACAAACATGATCTCCATTAAACCCCTAGTGATGAACTCTAAGAGGTGGAGGAAATGCCTCATGTGCTACCATTGGAATTTTCTCGAACTTGCAATCAACCGCAGATAACAACTGAACTCCGTTATTAGCCTCTTCAATCTTGATCTTCTCGATAAGCCCGATCAGAATTTGCTCCAACTTTGTCCCGCCAATCCACTCGAATATTTCCGCTTTCAAAAGTGTTCGATTTTCACATATTAATTTCCAAGCAGGGAAATCCTTCCTCGGCATCATAAAATCTCCTTCTTTAAGCTTCAAACTCGGGCAAAAATCACCTACACCGTCGCCTAGATATATCATCTTTTTCTTTCCTTCGTTTGCTCGAATCCTCTCTATAATCATACCCTTCATGCAAATTAAATAAATAAAATTAGTTCAAATGTTCAAATAGTAATTAAGTGATCACTAATGAATGACAAGATGATAGGATTTTAGACTTTTATGGACTAGAAATTAATTATCAAGATTTAGTGGGGTCAATATAAAATAAATATTTATAAAATCTCTGCCTGGTTTGAAGTCCTTTTTTCGTGCAACTTTTATATAGAGAGAGAGTTATATATATATATACCTTGCACATATTTGGAGGGCAGAGATTGCAGCCATGGGGTGATGTAAGAAAATCAACGTAAGGTGAGATTATCAGCCTCCCTTCGCCATTGACGTAGCTCGGGTTCGAGTTTATTTCCGAGAAGCAATTTCTTATTCCAAGATGATCAAGAATCGTCTCGATGAAGAACATGTTTGCATCACTCACTATCCTCAAATCACACCTAGAAAAATAAATCAAAAATATTATTACCCAAAAAAAAACAGAGATAATTTAAATTTTAAAAAAAAAAAATTAAAAAGATAATGTATATATAATCTTACCCTAAAGAATGGGCAGTCTTGATTGCAGGAACAACCCTAGGATGTATAGGAACCTTTTTTAGAACATCCTTAATCTCCTCAATTGTCTTCCCTTTTGCATGCATCTCTTTCATCATCCTCTCCTATTTTTTTTTTTAAATTATTAATAAACCCAATAAATATTAAAAAAAAAAGTGCATGGGATGTATGAAATGCAAAAAAAAAAAAAAAAAAAAAAAAAAAAAAAAAATCAAGAACTCACCATTAGTGAATTCCACGGCATGGTGGGAAGAAGCTCGTTGAACAAATCGGTGGCGCCGAGTTCATCCACCACCCAATTATCGCTATCCACCTCGATTATCGTCTTGTCGAAGTCAAAAACCACCATAATTCCGGCCATCGGATTTTTTTTTTTTTTTTTAAATAGTTATTTGATGTATGTAATAGCTAAAGAAATTCTTAGTTTTTGTTTGTAGTACTATGTTTTGGGCAATTAGGGCATATTTATATATATAGTGCAAAGAACCTAGTAGAACACAAATTAGATGCCAATGGAATATTACGCAGCACATGTTTTTTTTTTTTTTTTGTGGTGAATTAAAAGCAAGGCCATTCAAATTGGTTTCCTTTTCTTTTGGTTGATTAAATTACGCCGTTGGATCTGTTTAGATTAGGGTGTGGTGGATGATCGGACGGTCACGGGCGGCGCTTATTTATTAGGGGGGTTTAATGGTAATTAATGTAATATGCGGCAACTAGAGGAATATTCCGTGGGAATTTGAATTGTGCCGGAATGTTTGGCTGTCTTCCTTTTCCCCTACTTAACGGGGGAATATTCCGTTGGGTTTCAACGGACATTCTTGGCGGCATGTGGCTTTTCATCTATCGGTGCCGTTTGGCATATATTCATTAGGTTTTTCAATTTTGAAAATTAAATTTTTTATGTATTTTATTTGCCAATAATAAATTCACAACAGACAATTTATTATTTATTATTTTAATTAATATTTTCTTTAAAAAAAAACTCAATATTCACTATATTCCTTTTCAGATAAATACGAATACTAGCACACAAGATTAGAATATATCTGAAATAAGTATATTATATATACTCTATCCAAACATGACATAGTGCATTTTTGATAGCAACTATCAATCATGGAACTATATCAAAAAAAATATAGATATAGTTATAATTCAAATTTGTTTTACTCTAATTATTTTATATAATAGGATTTCAATTAAAAATTAACATTTGTTCCTTTTGCAGTATTTTATTTATTTAGAGGCACTTTAATTTCTTATTAATTGGTAATATGTAGAAATACCCATGAATTTTGATCTATTTTTTGAAAGAAAAATAAACAAATTTGATTTTATTTTAATTAGGAATACATGATTAATATTTGTCTTCAAATTAAGCATCAAATAAACCATTTACCTAGATAATATACTCAACATATATTACTAATTAATTACCACATAAATAATTTAAATTATGCAGTTTATATTATAGACACTTGTATTATTAGTATTTATAAACTATTTGTCACGTGTACAATGAAACGGTAGACCACCTTAAAATACTTATGAACAAGTGGGAGAATGTGATAATATTTATTAAGAGACATTGTTATCGAGTTTGTTACTGTTAATACCTTGTTTAATTAGGGGGATTAGCAAATAGTACAATTAAATTAGACACTTAACACATAATTATGTAGCTACCTCTTAAACTATTCTTAATTAAAGGTGGCACTTGATGACAATTGAATCACGTGGTTCTTAATCCTTTTCCTTATCTCATATTAAATAATAAATAAATATTGGCTGCGACTACCCGTCCAACAATTTGGAACATTTCAATTGTCACATTTTTTTTAATCAAAAAATTTATGTTGAATTTCTAAAAGATTAACAAAATACAATTATTAATATACAATAGCCCAAAACATGATTATTCAGTCAGCCCATACTAAACTTAAAAAGGGCCGTAACATATTTATTTTAATTGGGCTCAAGTAAAATTAGTCCAATTATCATCTTCCATAAAAAGGTCCATCTTATTTTCATTTTATTTTATTTTATTTTGTAAGGAAAAATTAGTGAAAGGCTATTTTAGTTGTAACCTTTTCCATATGTAATTTGATATTTTCCTTATTTTTTCAAAATAATAATAATAATAACAAAATTTGAAATTAGATCAAATTCAAATTTTAAATCAATAGCGTAAAACTATATAGTGTATTTCATCATCAGATGCAAGTTCTTCAAAACTCGAGTTTACAGACAAGAAATGCGATAAAAGCGGATGAGAAATTGTTCCCTGATTTTGGGTAAACATATAAAATGAATAATTGGGTTTGATTACTAAAACAACGCATGCAATCCACTTATGATGTCCAAACGGCCCCTAGTTCTTCATCAAGTTGTGGGGCCCACCTGCTCCCCCTTGTGGTTGTGGACCCCATCCTAGAGTTTGCCCCCCCACCACACCGCTTTTTTTTAAAATTTTATTTATTTATTCTAATTTCATAATATTATAACAATTTATTGACATGAAATAGATATTAGTTGACTTGTTGTATGGACAATATTTCACTAGTGAGTAGTGTGACATTGATAGTCTAGTAGTGATATGTGAATCATATGTCATTTTATTTAGCCAAATTGAGTCTACAATATTTAAATCATCCAAAGACCAAAGTCTTTATTACACTTTGTCATCTATTTCTTCCTTTGACAAAATCATGTAAATTTCTAATTTGTTATAATTTTCATTGAAATGTGATCATACTATAGTCATCCCATAAAATTATGCAATTAATGACTTTTTATTAATTATTTTTTTTATTTTTTTGCAAAACTTAATTATTGAATTTAGTAAGCTTTGAATTTGTTAAAAATATTCAACACCAAGAGAGAATGAAGAGTCAGATAACTTGACTTCAAATTCTCTTACCAACATTTTCTATCGAGGCTGAATTTTGTTACATGTGGCTTGCTTATTGGCAATTTACATCTCTCGCGTACTGATTTATAAGTTATTGCACGAGAGTGAAATTGATACAGTGCACCTATTTAGCTGGTTACGAATATTTTCTTCATAAACATAATAATTGTTACTTGAATCATATAAAGTCGTGTTTGCAACTCTCTCTACCAAGAAGTAGAACATATTTATGAGAGGCAAAAGTCTAAAGTCAAGATATGAGTTATGAGGGTCGGTTAACCAAAGAGTGCAAATCCATGAATAATTAAAATTAATTCATTTAATAATCTTTATCATTACACGGTTACACCCACTAGCATTAATGGTTGTCGATTACAATTCCGTAAAATCTACATCTGGTGAAATATACTAGTATTTGATTTGACACCATTAATATACACATAATAATACACACCTACGTATATGATTATTTATTTAAATCTACGATTTAAAATCACATAGTCTATTTCACCTGATGTAAAATCTCGTAAGCCGTTGAATTACGTTCATGTAGCAATATTTATGAGTTATTTTTATCATTATTTTCTATTACTAACACACACACACACACACATATATATATATATATATATATATTTCGTTTTGTAATAAATAATAATGAAAAAAAATAGAGACTTTGACAGAGTGGCGATGTACACGTGGTTGATCCAAAATAAAAACATAAATAGAAGTGGTCCATTTCAAATGGGCAGTGGGCCTTCTTAGGCCCATTTAACAGAGTTCAGCTTCTGAATTTAATTGCCTTGTCTTTTTTTTCCAATTTCAGCTCCAATCCAATCTATATTGTGATCCAGTTTTATATCTTTTTAAAGAGGACTCACAATTATTCCAAAATAAATAAATATAATTAATAAAATATATATATATATATATATATATATATATACTTCAAATACTTTTTTCATTTGAAAGAAACTATAAGAAGCTATCAAATTATATATTCAAGTCCAAATGAAAATTGAACTTGTCTACAAGAGCCACTAGCATACAAAAATCAAGGAAATATATAAATAAATGTTAGAGTGTGGAAGATTTTGTAGCTACTGCACCGGGTGAAATACACCAAATAATTTTGAACAACTGATCTATGTAATAACACAAACACATACTCTATGTGTATGTGTACTTAGTGGTTATTTATACTGATCTATGATGCAAAAACACCCGATACGATACACCAGGTTCAGCGTCTCATAAACTGGTGTTGAAGAATGCCAAAAAGATAAGATATATCTTACACAAACATATTAAATATTATTGATCAATCAAAGGAGAAAAAGTTCAAATCTGTCTTGTCTTTCCAAGACAAAAACTGAGATATATAAATCTGCCCATATATATATATATATATATATATATATATATATATATATATATATATATATATATATATATATATATATATATATATATATATTCCAACCCATTCCACCCAAATTATCCAGAAAATCTTCAAGCCAGCAAAACACCATTTTAATATTATTTCACACAATCAGAATCAGTTTATTGAAGTACATAATTATCATAAATTCAGACATCAAACACACATATATAAATTGATATAAATGGAAGCAAATATAAGTTTCCAATTTCAAGAACTCCCAAGAATAACTTTCTTGCCAATCAATTTGCACTCTAATTCCCAATAAAAATACCCCATTTCATAATATATATATATATATATATAATTATCTACACCAATAAATACTCATGCAAAAGTCTCAAAAACCACACATAAAATCAGCAAAAAAAAAAAAAAAAAAAAAAAAAGAGAAGAGGGGGGTGGGGTGGCTCATTCCCCACCATCACTTCTCAATAATCATACTATATATTATAATTAGATTTATCATAATATAATAATTAATATCAGCATCAGCACTATATTTTTTAAATTAAAAATCAAATCTTGAAAACCAAAAAAAAAAATAGACAAAAACAAGAAAACAGATCCCTTTCTTCTAGCTGAAATTTGATTACCTTTTAGTACTAGAGAAAAGTTGACCCGGGTGTGTAAATAGCAAGATCAGGCCACCCGTTGCTTCCGCCACTCCAGCCAGTTTCACCACCACCGCCGTCGCCGCCGCCGTCTCCGCCGTGAATGTTCAAGAATCCATCATCAGCATTATGGTCACCGCCGCCACTATCCAAAACATGCGGATCCATATTCTGACCCGAACCCTGATCGCCAAAGTGATCGTTCATCTGCAAGCCCGACCCGTTGGGTCCAAGCCCTTCAAGAAAATTACCAAACTGCCCCCCGCTCGAGCCCAGCAGCGAGCTGAAACTCCCACTCGCCTCCAGGAAATTACCAAACTGCCCCACGAAATTCTCCCCCTTCGGAGGCAATACCGCTTCGGTATTGCTCTCGCCGTGATCCTTGTTCTGATCATTAGATGATGTCTCCGGCGCGGAAGTTGCGGGGCGTTTGTTGGCGGCGGCGGAGGAGGAGGGGGTGGCGGAGGAGCTGCTGCTGCGCTTGGCGTTCTTCCTGGAACCGCCGCCGACGGGGATGTTCCTCAACGCGCCGCCTTTAGTCCAGTACCTTTTGCAGCTCTTGCAGAAGTGGCGCGGCTGAGAGAGGTTGTAGTTGTTGTAGTAGCAGAACTTTGTGTTGGCGGAATCGCAACGCGGGCATTTCAAATGCTCTTGCTCCGGGAATTGCGGCTGCGGCTGATGCGCTTGTGCATTGATCTGCGAATACAGTGATGGGTCTTGCATTTTTTTTTATTTAATAAAAAATAAAAATTGAATCTTTGCCACCAAGCTTTGATCTTTGCTTTAAATTTCGAGGTGGGTTTTTGTTGTAAATTGATGGTGTACAATCTGGAGTTGGGAAAATCAAGAAAAAAAAAAAAAAAGGTGGCTTTCTTGATTTTCGATTATAGTAGAGGATCAAGAATTAAGGTAGATAGAGATCAAAGATGGAAGAAAAAAGTTTGACCTGTTCTCTCTCTCTCTCTCTCTCTCTCTCTCTATCTCTCTCTATGCTGATGTGATTGTGATTGTGAATGATCTCTGCCAGTCCGCGTGAGAGCGAAAATCAGAGCTCATAATATACATATACATACAACATATATAGAGAGAGGAGAATTCTCTCTCTCTCTCTCTCTCTCTCTCTATCTTCTCTCTCCTCTCTCTCTCACACACAGACACGCACTACAGAGTGTAGTGATGCTTGAAATCAAGAATAAATCAGCAGTGTCTGAAAGTTGGGATATTGGATATCTGGCTCAGGCTTAATTAGAGAGTGGGATTATATTTTCTTGATTATTAATTAATTAGATTAGATGATAATATTAATAATAGTTTTAAGTTTTTAACAATAATCAGATTCTCTCATTCTTTCTTTGGCTGCTCTTTGTGGACTATATTGCACATAGCCTTGGCTTATGGAATTTATTATTTTAATAATTTATTATATTATTTTTTATAATCAAAGTGAGGGACCAATGGAATAATTGTGATAAGGGACTAAAGATTATTTAAACATAATTAAGGTGACCAGAGGTCAAATACGATGTCCTTAATCCCCTTCTCAACCTTAAACAAGTGATGGTTCAGTGTTCAAATTAGTATTCTTATTAGTATTCTAATAAGAGTTTTCGTACTGCTAGATATCTATTAATTAATACAGTCGTCAGTTAAATTCTATTAATTTATCGAAATATTAATGTATCGAACTATATATTATTAAAACATTGTTCTTGAGTTGCGACCACGAAAATGTATTATTTCAACCAGGTTATTAATTTATCGAGATGTTATTGTATTGTGTAAAGTATTTCAATATTTAACAATTCTAATTTCATTATTTTTGTGATTTTGTCTAATTCTATTACATAAACCTACTCTTTGTCATAATTTTCCTCATGAACTAATATATTAAACTAAAAACACTACTAGGAAATTTAATTAAATTAAGTGGAATGAAAAACAAAAAAAAATAGTAGTAAAACTATTAAAGTTTATTATTTTCATAATCAAGCTGAGCCGCCGTTTAGGATAAGCCAAGCCGGGTGACGGCGGAAGCCGAGCTGCAAAGTGAGCCTGCGTGCTAACCAAGCAGTGGAAACAGTAGTAGAGCATCATTTGAAAATCCATCAGAAGATCTCCACCGTACACTTCTGGAAGTGGGCTAGTTGTAGCCGTCCATCTGGAAGAGGAATATATGGAACCGTAATTTTGGGTGGATTAGGGTGGCCGTCATCTTATGGGGCCCATTTCCATTATGAGGCCCAACACTTCTTTTTACTTCTAATGACCAAAATGCCCTTTTCGAACTATTGGAATTCCATGTCATAATTGTTGTCAAGTTGGAGGTTCATTTTTATGCAATTAAATGAATTTTTGTTATATTTTAAGGAAATATAGTGAAAAAAATTAAAAAATTAATCACTAATCGAACTATGTTCATCGTTGTGAAGATGTCAACCTAGTCTCGTTTATGTCATCAGGTAGAAGCTCCTACGATCAAGTTAGAAAGAGTTGTAGCATTAATTAGGGCAAATTACGGTCACCCCTTCAACTATGTATTATCTTACGAAAAGACTCCTCTAGGGGTAAATTTAAGGATGTTAATTCGGTAAAACCAAACCGAAATTTTGGTACGCCAATATTTCATACCGTTGATCGAACTAAATATACAATTTGGTTCGGTAAATAACCGAATGACATGAATTTTATGTAAAAATATTTAGGAAATTGTGGCTGTAATTACCAAAACAAGAAGAGTTTTTCGTAATTTGGTCATACCTCATGTTGTAACCGTAATTTGCCCCATTAATTATGAAAAGAGTGAGGAGCACATGATGATTTCTCACTAAAAAAGGAAAGATGTTTGGTTCATACTATGAAATGCTATTTAGACCAACAAACAACTAATTAATTTTATTTTCCTTACAAAATAAATAAATAAAATTCACCAAAGTTTGCATGCCACGCCCAGACAAAAATCCACTAGATCAAGATTTTATCATTATTAAAATTAAATAAATAAATAAATAACAATAACACTGATCACTCCCAAATGTTTTACTTCTCTAAGGCAGATGTGATGTAATTGTTCTTAGATTCAACATAATCTAACCTTAGCATCAACGAAACCTCGATATTACTCGGCTCAAATGTCGTATTGCCTCGTAACGTGAAAAATATTGTACAAATTAATAGAAGCCAAAGGGTTGAAGAATACTTTTACAAAATGAAAATCTATATCCAAATAAAAAAATAAAATTTAAAAAAAGAAAAAAAAAGGGGGACAAAAAATCATCCTACAAGAGAGAAGATTTAAAGTAAGACTACATTTTACCTCAGAACTAAGTGACATTATAAAACATCTTCAGTTTATGTTTTTTTTTTGTCCGGAAGAGCTGTGCTGCAAATCACATTCCTTCAAGCCAAGCCTTTTTTCTACTGAACATGGGAAGAACAGAGCAGCATCGTTTTTTTTTCTCTTCCGAACAAAAGACGTAAAAAAAATAAAATAAAAGAAATATATAACTGTCTGCCGAGGTACAAAGACACACAATTGCTCCGTTTGTGAATTCTATAATCATCACTCTTCTGGAACCTGACATTCTAAGCCTGTCATAGATATTTTACGAGCTACTTAGAATGTAAGAAAGAATAAAAATACAAATAAATCATTTAAACGAAAAATGTTTTTACCTGCGTGTTTTTTTAGAGAATTGGTATTTTACGCATAATACATATACAAGCTATTTGCAGCAGCACAAGCGATTGAGTTTTCAGACGGGTGCCATGCCAGGTGGAGCAGCTTTGTAGTGAAATCGAACGAGTTCCCATTTGCATCAACTACCGGACTTTCTGCACCTGAATTGTGGGCCCCGTAATTCTTTTAAGTAATGTCTAATGTTTGATATTTTTACTTCAAAAAAAAAGGAAAAAAAAAGACAAGGGTAAATTACCTCGTCTGACAGCACGAGTTATGCTGCTGCTTAATGATCTGGTGGGTCTTGAAGGGGTCTGAACTTGCTTTCTGCAAAGGCAATCGAATTATGGGGTTTTTTAGTAATAAGATAAATTTATATCTATGTTAGTTAAAAGTATGATAATTGCAAAAATACCTCATAGGATTTTTGCTTGCTTCGAGAGTAGTTGCTTCAGTACTACCAGGTGCACAACCAAACACACGGAACAGATTGCTGAAAATTGATTTTTTTTTTGTTAAGACATATGAAGGTGGAAGAAAAAAAACGATAACACGATAGAGATTCGAGAATTACCTGTAAGAACCAGTGGCAACTCGAAGACCATCACCACTCAGGCAGCATTCGAATTTGTCGAAAATAGAATCGTTTTCATATAAGTCGCATAGCTGGAATAATCAAAAAGTACAATTTAATCAGCTAAAAAAATATTTTTTGAAGAACCTATACGAAAATGGTCGATGAGATTCGTAATTCACCTTCGGTCTTAAATACTCGTGAACCTGGAACGTTGACACTGGGCCAGAATCCATATTAATATCCCATAACTGAAACCAATCAATATTATTTATCAGACAAAAAAAAAACACTGAAATTGCAAAAATATTGAAGCTGATAGTGACTAGTTTCGATCAATATAATGTCTAAAATAATTTATTTACGAACGTTTTCCGACACCTTAATTTGTGTGTTTTACTGAAATTAAACTATGACCTGCTAATTTAAATTCGGTAAAATATACGAGTCTAAATAAGAAATCACAAAAGTGTTTTAACTAGCTGCATAAGAGATAGAACCTTAAGAGTCATGTAGTCACGACTCAGTATATATCTGCCATCCCTCGCAAACTTAATATCCGATACCGATGCAATTATCTCAGTGAAAAAGGATCTTGAGCCAGGTGCCTCTTGTTCCTCAAATCTGTTTACGGAAATGTATCGTTAGTAAACGGAGCATTCCTAAGCAGAGTGAATTGAAGTTATATTTGACGTCCCATTTTAAAATTACTGACAGGCAAGAAAAATAACAGAAAATATATAATCGGGAGCCTGAAATACCAAGGGCTACTGCCAAAGAACTTACAGCTTAGAATGGGAATCACACAATGCAGATTGCCGTAAATCAATGAGACGAATTGATCCTTTTGAAGAACTATATCCTAACATGTTGCAATGAGTAGGATGAAACTCTGCTGATGTTATCACCTCTGCAATAAAAAAAGTAAAAAAAATTATCAATTAATTTAAATAGTGAACTGCTCGGGTTTTTTTTATGGTCAGATCATGTCCCAAACTGCCCAACCACCTTTATAAATGAATGTTCCGGTTACATTCCTACAAGAAATAAATAACATACCAGAAACAAAAGAAAGTATATATATAATAGCCTGAAACTCGTGACATAAGACAACAAATTTAAAGACGAAAAAGAAGAACAAAAAGGAAATCATCCATTGTTTACAGAACAAAATTCGGGTCTTAGTGGGCTCCTGGAAGATTTTAATCAAAAGAAAAGAAACAGAAACCTTCGAAACTAACGCGACGAATTAACTTACCAGTCAGATCCTCCATGTTTGTAGGTTTGACATCAACAATATTGAAACTTTGATTGCTAATTTCCAAGTTCCAGAGATTTATGCGCAGGTCGTCGGCTGATATAAATGTTTCACCATCACTGCAAAAAAGCATTAAGAATAGAAATTAATTTTCAATTCAAAGAAAAAAACGACAAGAAAGGAGTAGCAACTTGTTAAATTTGAGGTCCAATACAGTGGATCCTTCACCTGTTATTTGAGATAGAATTGATATGGTAATCGTGCGCGTGAGCATATACCCTCCTACATCTAGCAAGAAGATTGGTCTCACCGCTTGTCACCTACAAATCATATACATCAAGTGTTACTACAAGAAGTAATGAGCAGCAATTGTAACATAATTACCATAAAATCAAGAATCACATATCCAAGAAACCGAAATGTATAAGTACTCAAAATTCTAGACGTGTTTACAACACATAATGAAAGTTTAGCTTAGATATGTACAATTACCACGGGTAATCGAAGTGAGGGGATGCCGCCAGGTGGGAACAAGTCATTGTTCAAAGAGTCGAAAGATCGATCTTTACGGCTTCCATTAGCAAGGCACTGGTTACGACTCGAAGAAATACTAGAACTTGCAACACTACCATTTCCAGCAACTTTAGATGGGTCGACATTCATTTCAGATATTTTCTTGATTTTCTTCTCTTGGACCTGTTTAAAACAAAAGATTATAACCATAGGGAGGAAAAAAAAAGTGGAGCAAAGGTTTTTCAGAAATAAACTAGAGGTAAATGGAAAGAATACAGTCCCGAACAAAGAACATACACATTAATGAATATGATGAGAAATTGAGAACAAAGCTGAAGGTCCATCTTACCATAATGAATAATCATGAAATAAGAGTTATTACAGTTTAATATTTATCTTTTGTACTATAATCTATAAGAAAAGTTAAAGTACAGATCTCACCTTCCAATACTTGATGGTTTTGTCATTAGTAGAGAGAAGAAAGAGGGCACCATTTGCTGCCTGGCACCACCGGATCTTGTTGATTTTCTCCTCAATCTCCAAACTTTTGAGATAATCAAACTGATGAAAAGACATGCCGAATTACGTCATTATAATTCAAACTTTTGTGTTTTTGACTTTTTTGAATAGAATAGTGCCAAATATTAACACAAAAGAAGAGACGCATTTAAGCAATTTGATCACTTAAAAACAGAAAATATAGAGTTAAAATAAAGCCCATACAACAGAAATAATGAGCTGAGATTTGAAGTAAGTACCTCGGGCTCATGGCTCTGGAATTCAGTTTTATAACGGAACTCCGGATGTCGAGTAACTGGATAGTCCATTCTCTCTAAGTCTCTCCGATTTTCACCATTCTGCAAGTTAATATGCGAAAGCAAAAACACATAATAAAATAAATACAGATGATCAAGTCAGCATAAAATTGAATTTCTTGATGTCAGATAAACATTACCTCTTTCGAATCCGTCCTTTCAAACAGCACCACCCTTCCTCCACGGTCACCCGTAGCAAGATGGTCACCAGTTTTATCGAACTCAATTGCAGAGATGATATCAACTGCAAATCAAGGACAATAACAATAGGGTCAAAATTCCTGTCTTCTATTGCGCCCTCTAAATTCAACTGTGGAGAAATACAGATTCACAACATCCAATTGGAGCACGACAACTAGAACATCAAAGGAGAGAAAAAAATCTTGATATAACAAAAGACAACATATGGTTCAACCAGGAAGAACAATGTTACACTAACTCATATATGTTTCACTAATTGGAAACTATCCGTGCTCTCTTTGAATATACAAAAACGGTAAATGTACGTCGATCACACGATACTTGAGAACTGTCAAGTAGATCATCACTATTTGGACTTCTGGAATGAGTATGATTTTTCAGAAAATCAGGATTATGTTAGAAAAGCAGAAACGATCCTAAGACACACACAACACATTCAGCAAAATATCATTTCAGAATTTATATCCATCACTAGTGAGTATTTTTCATGAAATGAAACTAAACATGGATAAATCCCATTCCATTACATAAACACAATCTCTGTGTAGCCGCACCTTGTTAGTGGGTAAGCAAGATCATTTGCATCCATCAAAGGTTTGTATTGCACAATTCTAACCAATAAAAAAGATTTCATCTCAAAACCTGAGAACGGGACATGATCGATGGAAATTAAATCATGCAAGTGCATCCATAAATGCAACAATATACAAAAAGGGATAATTTCCCTTCTACTGTGACCAGCTCATTACTTGACATTCTTTTTATCTATATTTTCAACCTTGCTTTTGTTTTCTTTTCAACTTAAGTAATGCCAAAATTCGCACACTTCAGATGCTGGAAAAGCACTCGTAAAGTTCCAAAAACACTGCGGTATTTTGGAAGCATCTTCATCTATCATGACCCAAAAATACGAAATAGAATTAACCAAAAGCTCGAACCAATTACATCACAATGATTTCTCCGATAATTGCGCAAGGTTAATATGCAGTTAGTCGACCAGACAACGTTAAACAGCATCGTGACAATACTCGGCAATATATTGATACATATAAGCATATGGTTATGGATGTAACTACAACTATAACTAAAATATCTGCAAACAGAGATTTGAGAAGCGAACTCTCACTCTGCCGGAACACAAAATTTGATGATTGCAGTTCACACCATAAAACACAATTTCAAAGATCCAACCCTACAGTATGGATTATGAAATGCTCTTTTAGGAAAAAAAAAAAAAGAAAATTAAAATAAACATCAAGCCAAGGAAAACTAAAAATTGAACTCAATTCACTCAGCTCCAAACTATAATCTCTCAAAACGCTGATGAGAAACACTAACATGCAGATCACACATTGAAATCCCCAATCAATTTGTTCTAAAATCAAGCCACTAACGATCCAAAAACAGATCAAATTCACAGAAAACCCAAACCCTAAACAACAGATCCAAACCCAAAGCAAAGCAGGATATTTATCTCATTCATTAATTTTACCTTCCTGTACTTCTTCGCCGGCTGACCGCTCGCCGAAGACCTGAGAAAATTTCCACTCGAGCGGCGTAGGTGGACCTGCCGCAGCTGATGCCACCTCCCCACCACCACCATCACCGCCATCCATTCTTCTCGAAGCAACAAAAAGAAAGGAAAAATCAGGAAATAACAACTAATTTTTTTTTTTTAATTTTTTTCACTTCATTGAAGAAGAGACGATTTAGGTTTAGAAATCGAAACAAAGATCAGAATAGAAACCGAATGTCGGATTCAGATTCGACCATTTCTTTCCAGTGTGTTCATATTACAACATCGGATAGTACAAAAAGGAAAACGAGGATTCAGATTTCTCTCTCCATGTATAGATACATTCAATTGAACGTATAGAGAGTGGAAATTCTTTTTTCTTCTCTCTTTCTTTTTTTCCCCTCAAGTGTGTGTGTTTCAATCAAACCGTTCTTATTTTTATTTTTATTTTTATTTTTATTTTTTAACCAAATATTTATTATTTATTATTATTTCTCTCTCTCTAGATATCTTTCATTTCATTTCTCTCTCTAAGGATTAAGGAGATGAATTAATTTTGACTTCACATTGTGACATTTATATCTAGATTTTTTTAATTAAACAAAATGAATTAATTATGTTAGGTCTCATTTGGATTCAAGGAGTGTATTATGGAAATAATTTTAAATGATCTCGAATTAGATGAATTGAATTTCTTTTTAAATAAATCGTGTGAACTTTGTATTTGTTGTTATGAATATTAAAATTTTCGAGTCCAGATTCTTCGATCCGCATGAATTGTTAGATTTTACATATTTTTATATGACACTGAGATATTCGATTATGTACATATATACGATCGAAAACTTTTCTAATACATATAAAAATAAACTAATGAGATACAAATAATTATAAAAAGTGTACATATAAGAGAAAAATCAATATTTTTTTACTTCATATATACATAAAAATTATATTTTAAAGAAAATTTAATGCCACTAGCTAGGCCTTAAACCGATATACTAATTGGGCCTATTGGGCCAATCAACGTAGATAGCTGCCCCATTTTCCCCATTTATGGCTACTATTTTAAAGTTAACCTTAAGAAAAGGTTAATAAAATAAATTGGGGTCTTAAGATATAAGTCCCTGGTGACAAAACTTATTAGAACTAAATGACAAGCCTAACTAAACATTTGCTTCACATCCTTTATAAATTTCATTCCAAAAATGCCCTTCACAAATAAAAAATGAAATCTACATCAAATAACGTAGAATACATTTCTCTTTTTTTTTTTCCATGTCGTATTCTTTTCATTATTATAAAAATCAAATTATATTTTTTTTACACTATTATAAAAAACATTAAAAAATCTCTTTTTTTTCCTACATAATATTGAAAATTATAAAAAAAAAATCGTTTTTTTATTTAATTTACATATTTTTTTTTAATTTTATCTGCTGTCAATATTGTAGTAGCCTATGAAATATTATGGTGTACTATGTTATACTATGGTGTACTATGCTTATGGTGTACTACAGTATACTATGGTCTACTACAGTTTACTGTTCCAAACCCTAGAAGCAAAATAACTCCCAGCCGTCGCCAAACCCTAGCTTGCAGCCGCCGCCACTCGCAGCCACCTAATCCCAGCCACCATATCCGCCGTTATTCACTATGAAACTCTAGATCTGCCACAACAACCGCCTTTATTCATTATGAAACCCTAGATCTAGCACCACCGCCGTCAACGCCATAGCCACCGCCTCCGATAACCATCCCCACATAATCGGCCACCACCATGTTCGTTCGACTCACAAACTTGGACTCATCTCTTCCCAAAAACGATGCGCCTTCAGATCTACCGCCGGAATAGATTCACCGCTACTCCGCTACTCACTCCGTCATCTCCTCCGCCGCCACCGTCAGATTCTCATCCACCTCCGTTGCGTTTCCGGCACAATATTCGTGCCTTAGCAAAAATAGAAAAAAAAAAAGGATAGTTGTATGGAGATCGGTCGAGAAAGCGAGAGACAGAGAGTAAGAGAAAAAGAGAGAGGGACATCGACAAGGGAGGGGAGGGGGCGAGAGACACAGAGTGAGAGAAAAAAGAGAGAGGGAATCAGATAAGGGGAGGAGGCGGAGAAAACAAAAAGAATAAAAAGAAATAAATCTGGTGCAAGAAACGTAATATATGTAGGTTAAAATATTTAAGGTATAAGGGTAATATAGGGATAAAAAAAAGATTAGGGATGTATGTCATATATTATTTCAAACTAAGGATTTAATTAAAAGATTGGATTTGGACTTGTCATTTAGTCCAAATTAGGTTTGCTTTGAGGGACTCATAGCATATTACCAAATAAATTTGATATCTGAAACGAAAGGATAAATACAGGACGTTTTTTAGTAAATGCATGTCATTTTTTTAATTATAATTTTTAATCTCATTCCACCCAATTATCATCTCTTTAAATTTATTATTCCAAATAAAATTCCTAGATTTTCACTCTTATATTTAGATTTATTGCATTTAGTTTTATTGAATTTCTAAATTTAAATAATACTTTTTAACTTTTAGAATTAAAATGAGAAAAATCATCTAAACTCAAAATGTGTCCATAGATTTTGGGTAGTTTTTGTGGATTAAAACACAAAAAAATGATGGAACAATTCGATCTAAGGAAACTTCACAAATTCTGGGGAAAAAAACGAGTGTTAGCAGTAGACACTAGTCTAAATTATGCACAAAATTTGATAAATTCGTGTTTTGACAACTAATAATGCGATATTCAGGCAAAATTAATGTTCGAAAGAAAAAGATTGGATTATACTAAATTTTACTAATTTATTAAATAAAATGACCTACGTTTCCTGACAGACGTCCTGTATTTATCAAGTCCCATTAATAACGCATTAAAACATTTGAGTATTGTCTTTCTTTTTTTGTTCGAGAAGAAAACATTAACTAATTTCCCACAGTTGAAGCTATCTCATTCAGAACCTAAGACCAGTTGCAGTTATAAATGCAACAATTAATTAATTAATTTACATAAACATTAAAAACACTTATTAATGCCCATTCTTTAATGCAATCCAATAACATCTTTTATTTCAATGTTTGCATATAAATAATAAACCCCCATTGCTTCAATTCTCTCTCACGTGTTCAACATCTCTATTTCACTAGTTGTGACATTTATATATTTATACACATATATATCTTACAAAAATTCTACGATGATATATTAATTTATTGTTCATCTGTGTATTCAAATTATATGTTTGGCATCAAATGAGTCAATTTTTTTAAAAATATTTTGGTGGTTGAATATAGGTATTTGTTGCTAGTGCATTGTTTATCTTATTTTTAACTTAATATTGTAACTTATTTTCATAAAAATGATTAAAAGAACATAATATATCCTATTGAAAACTGAAATGATGCTATTACCAACCCTCATTAGGAGAGTTGGTATCTAGCCTTACCAATAGGGTAATCGGCTTAGGGTTCGAGTCCCCCTTTTCCCCTACTTCCCCTTGTAATAGACTTGAATTTACTCAAAAAAAAAAAAAAAAAAAAAAACTGAAATGCTATTCATAGATTAACTTTTACCGGCTTGCAGTGCGACTTTATTTCATTTGTAATTTTCAAAGAAAAAAACTACATTTCTCTCAAACCCTTTTCCAACCATGTATCGTGCATGAATATTTCATATTCGTGCAAAGAAGCACGAAATAGTGTTTTTTTACGATGCACGAAATCATAGTATTTTATGTTTTTTTATGTATTTCGTGTTGAATTTCGTGTATTTTATGTTTTTTATGTATTTCGTGTAAATTTACGTGAAACCACTAATTTTTTTTTTTATTATTTCATTTTTAACACTCAAATAAATACAAGAGAATAACAACAAAGTTAAAATGAAATTCAAATACTAAGTAGACTAAAATTCAAATGTAAATACAAATTAAAATAAACATATATTTCGTAAACTACGGAACATACTTTAATCTTGAGATTCTTGTTCTTGTTCCTGCATAAAAAAAATCGTATTAAATAACTTAATTTTTTTAAGGGATTTCACGTTATTTAATACGATTTTTTTTTATGCAGGAACAAGAACAAGAATCTCACAATTTGATTCATACGATTTAGGATTCGATTCCTAGTGTCAGTACATGAAGACTTAGACCACCTAACATTGTACACATAAGAGAATGACAGAGTTGATGTGAATGGAAATGTGATAGTGGATGAAGAACCAAGTCTCCTGCTTAAGTACAGTGAATGGAATACAATAGAGACAATATACATTGAAGATGATGCACCAATGGATGAATATGGGGCACAAATGAATGAAGATGAGGCACTGAATAAAGAGAAGACACTGGATGAAAATGAGGCACCAATGAATGAAGATGAGGCAACACTGAATCAAGAGGAGGCACTAGATGAAAATGAGACACCAATGAATGAAGATGAGGCATCACTGAATAAAGAGGATGCACTGGATGAAAATGAGGCACCAATGAATGAAGAGAAGCAGTGAATGAAGATGAGACACCAATGAATGAAGATGAGACAACACTGAATGAAGAGGAGACAACACTTAATGAAGAGGAGGCAGCACTGAATGAATTAAGAGGAGGCACCAATGAATGAAGAGGAGCCAGTTAATCAAGACGGTGCACCAATGAATCAAGAGGATGCACCAATATTTGAAGATGATTCTTCAGATGAAGATTATGTTCAACTAACAATGAAATGGTGATGATGGTATACCCTCTGATGCCCCAAGTGAAGAGTTTGCTGACATTGAAGGCTCATCTGAAGATGATTTCTTTCTGGACAGACATTCAAGTAAGAAAGATCTAGCTAGAAAAGTGAGGCAAATGTTGAACAAGGAAAAAAGGTCAGTCCAGAAGTATAAAAAATGCAGAGTAAATCCATCTCAACAGACCACTGATTAGTATAGTGATGTGGATGATGAAGATGATATTGAAAATCTGAATTTCTTAGATAGTGAGAGTAGAAGAGTTCCTACTTTCAGTTAGACATGGCCACGGGGCGGGTCGGGTCCGGGTCCGACTTTTAGGGGACCCGAAACTGACCCGCCTGGAGGCGGGTCCGGGTCCGGGTCCACCCAGTTTTTAAAATTTTTTTTTTACAAGAAAGAAAAAACTGATATTGAAACTTGAAAAAACATGAGATTAACTTTAAATTCAAAATTAAAAAAATAATTGAATTTAAACACTAATCAATTTTAGAAAAAATTGAAACGATTAAGACTTTGAGACATAAACTAAATAAAATGAAAGTTGTGAAAATTGAATTGTCGGTATTTATAAGTGAAAGTAATAATTGAGAAAATTTTCAAAATTTCAAAATTCAAAAAAATATCAAAATTCAATCTTTCTTTTAAATTAAATTATATTTTTTATATTTTTCAAAATTAAATATATATATGCATTTGTTATTAGTCAAGATTTTTGATATTAATAAAAGTCAACACGACAATTAATAATTTATAAAACATTAGTTATACAATTATTATAATCATTTTACAGTGTTATTTATATTTATATATTTATAGTTAGGATTATCATAACAAGGAATATATATAACATAAACAAAATGTGTAAAATGATTATAATAAATAATGTTAAATAGATTATTAATTATCATATACAGTATTCATTATTATTAAATAATTTTAATTAAATTATTAACACACTACCAAAAAAAGGGGCTTTTGTGACAGACTATTCAGTCACGAAATTGAAGAAAATCTGTCACAAAAGCCCTTTTGTCACAAATTTGTGACCGAATTGGTCTGTCAGAAAAACCCTCGTCACAAAATAAATTTGTGACTGATTTTTCTTGTCTGTCACAATGTTTATGACAGAGACGTCTGTCACAATCAAAAAAAAAATCGTCACAAATACGTAATCCAGGGTCTCCAAGAATTGTGACGGATTTCGTCACAAACCTTTTTATTGGTCATTAATGTGTCACAAATCACTAAGAATTTCCATCACTTCTCCGTGACAGACGTCGTCATAGAAAATGTCCGTCACAAATAATCCATCCGGAACCTCCGTCACAAATAATTCATTCAGAACCTCCGTCACAAAATTCCATCACAAATATCCCGTCACAAATCTGTTACAAATACTTAATTATCTTTCGGTCACAATTCCATCACTGGTTGTCGATGAAGGAAGTTTCGTTATTCGCTATTCAAAGCTATTTTAGTTTTTTAATACTTGTTATCCGAATATTTCAAAACTTCATTCAACTTCAAAATTCTTGATTATCAATAGAAAATCTACTACAGAAATTCTTAGAACACCAAATTCACATACAATTCTACAATAGTCAAAACATATGATACATAGACCGAAAGAAAACTCGAATGAGTTTTGCCTTAAAATTTAAGGAAGCCACCTAATTTTTCAATTCGATACAAGTTAAAAAAGCTATTTGTTTTGTAACTATGTTCAAGATCAATATCCTTCTCGTTTACGTGCTCGAGCTTGTCGATGTAGAAAGCTGGTTTCGATCAGACCGCTGCTGCATTGAGGCCTCAAATTTGAACTCGAACAAAATTTACACGAGACCCTGTGAGCAAAGAAATTTATTTAACAATCAGTAAATTCCAATGTGCAGATTTCGTGAATATGGAAAAATAATTTATAATTATTCCCTTCTACTTACTGATGTGTAATCTATCACAATAGAAAGAAACAAATACTCTTGCCTTCCACGATTATGCATGAGCCATGTAGAGTTTGTGATGAGTTCTTGGTGGTATTGGTATTTGACAACAAAATCTAACAAACAAGAAATGCATCTTGCATCAATATTATTCCGTCCACATATGTATATACTACCATATAGCATAAACTTATCTCCACGGGAAACATAAGAGAGGCCACATCAATCGTGCCACTTTGCGTTCCTAAAGCAAACAGTGGAACAACTACAACAGGAGAGTTTCCACCACCTACATGTACTGCATAGTTAGTATATAGTGTATTAAATGCTGCTACGTTTTCAATAAGCTTAACATTAAATCTTGAATAAAGTAATTACTTTTCCGAATTGGGTTGACACCATGCAAAAAAACTTATACTATTCAAATTGAGTTAACACCAACAGGCAACAACAGACTCATTCTCGTCGTTCTACCAACATCATTCTTTAATTACAACTACAAAATTCAAGCAATTATAATCATTCGAAGTACAATAAACCAAAACAAACCAAAATTGGCAAATTAGCTTATTCAATGAAACAATGACTTACACCTCTGTTGCAATAAGAAGATCCAAGAACACTCACAACTCAGAATACATTTACAAAGAATTATGGTAACAACTCAGAATACATTTACAAAGAATGACCAATTAATACAATCACACTGAAGAAAACCCTCAATCGCCATTATTTTCATCGCACAGCCAACTAATAGTAATCATCATCATTTTTTTTTGTTAATACCCAATGTATTCATAATCCAGTAATTCCGCAGACTAGTTATGTTATGTATCTTTTTTTTAAATACAACAACATCAATATTAAGATTTACCCGTATGCCCAAGTATTTTATCGAGCACGAAGCTTCTACCGTCGCCGTCGCCCATGGTCCGGCGCTATGCTATCGCCCAATCAAAAAAATCGACCAGGCCTGCCCATAATCCTCCGTCATCGCTGCGTTCTAACTCTGATGTTTTAAAATGGGGATTTGATAATTTGTATTCTTGAAACCCTCGATTCAAATGGGGATTTGCTAATTTGTATCCTTGAAACCCTCGGAGTCCTCTCACAGTCTCACGGTAGTGGAGGAAGTGGAGGAGTTAAGTATTTCTTATTAATTATATGTGTTACTGTAAAATTAAGCAGCGGCAAATGAAAAGAAATGAGTTAGTGTAGGTTTAATTATCAAAAAAAAAGAGTTAGTGTAGGTTTTTTGTTAACATAAACTTTGAGCTGGGCTGGGCTCGGCTTTTTTTGGAGGTAGGCTATTTTGCTTTTCTTTTCTTTTTTTTTTCCTTTTCTTTTCATAATATAAATTTCAAATAATTATATTTGTATTACATTATTCATACATATAATATATCAAATATTATTTACATCATTTTTATATCAAATAGTTGCAAAATCATTATTATATAATTAACTAAATCGTAAAATACAAAAGTTGTAAAATATTATAATGAATGATTAATTTAGTTAACTTCACAAGGGAAAAATAGGTCTAGGGATTTAACTTCTTAAGTTTAAAAAAAAATATGGAACTATAGTATAAAATTTATTTATTTATTTCTAATTATTTTTCTTTCACTTCAAATGTATATGAAGTAATAGCTACAAAAGTTATTACATATATTAACTAATATAAAATATTTTTATTATAAAAGTTTGGTCAAATTTGGTAAAACACTGAATTTCAATATATGTTTTTACAATAAATAATCAATTATATTCCACATAGGATTTAAAGAGAATGAAGTATGATAATTGATTAATAGAATTGCAAAATTTAGGAGTCTCATGTTGTTTAATTTTTTATTTTCTATTCAATGGAATGTTTTTAATTTTAAAAATTAGTGCAGTGCTTTGGTACAAAGGTAAAACATTTTTAACCAAACAAAGGTAGTGATAGATCAATGACGAAACTTAGAATGTGACGGATATATGACGAAACGTAGTAAGTGACGGATATGTGACCAAATGAAGATTGTGACAGATCGATGACATAACTTAGGATATGACTGATTAGTGACGAAATTACATATGACACATTTGTGACAAACTTGATGTTGTGACGGATTTGTGACAAGTATTAATTAGATTATATATCCATAAAAACAATACGACGGATATTGTGACAAAATCAATTTCTGTCACAAAAATTGTGACCACAATGTGATCGACTTTTGGTTGTCACAAACTCCATCACAAAATCCGTCACACATTCGTCACAATTAATCGTAAATACTTTTTGTTTGAATCGGTCACATATTTGTCACTAATTTCGTCACTTGGTTTGACGGATTTGGTCCGTCACAAATGATCTGTCACAAAAGCCCTGTTTTTTGGTAGTGACAAATATAATATATAATAAAAAATAAAAGAAATTGAAAGGACTTGAGCTTAATTCATTTAAATTTTATGATTCTATTCTAATATTTAAATAAAACGTAAATGTAAAAAAATGATTAAATCATATGACCTACGATTTAATTCTTACGAGTTTTACAAATTAAACCAATTAATAAAAGAGCAATCACATCATAATATTTTGATTATACTCGTCATATATAGTTTTATTTTTAAAGTAAAAACTTAATTAGAATGAGAAATAATCTATTTTTGTTAAAATAAACATCATCTATATTTTAAAATAATTATCTTATGAGAAAATAATCAATAATTTTAATAAGTTATTGTCAACAATTGAGGTTAATCAATTTAAATTAATTGAAATGAGTTATAATCTATTTTTTTAAATAAACATCTTATTTTATTTTTTGTTCTAATTTTTCACACTATCGATTTTAATAACATAAGTGAGTTTGTATTAAGTGAACGCGTTTGTTTATATATTGAATTGATTCAATACTTTATATTTTTCAATAGTGGAGATTATATTGATATAGTAATTAATAATAGATGTTTTGAAGTATCGAACTGTGATTCTATATATATTTTAAAAGTTTCTTATATTGCATTTGTTAATAATTTAATTAAAATTATTTAATAATAATTAATATGAAAATTAACAATTTATTTAACATATTTATCATTTTATACTAGGGTTTTATATTATATATATATATATATATATATATATATATATATATATATATATATATATATATATATATATATATATATATATATATATATATATATATATTTATTGTTTATATTTATTCAAATATATTGGTTGCCCGAGTGGTTAGAGTTGCCCAATTATGCCCATATACCAGAGTTGAATCCCCTAATGCCCAAGTTTTGGACAAAAAAACCCGAAATTCAGGTTGACAAGGCGGGTCCGGGTCGGGTCTGAAATCCGAGATTGCTGTGATAGATAGTGAAATGGATGATCAAGGAGAAGTGTGCTGAAACAAAAAAAACGAGTTCTGGGATGAACTCATGTCAAACTTGAAAAACTATAAATGCGATGGATATATATGTGGAAATCAGACATCCTGCCGACATATCAGCAATAGAGTATATGTTGACAAAATTGAAATTGAAACTCAAACTGAAATTTATTTGAAGCGCAGACTACTATCACTATTTATTTCTAGGACAACCATCTCTTCCCTTCACGTCCAGCACATTTTTTTAAAAAGATTTTCCGAAATCAGAAATAGCTACAGACTGCAGCTGCCAAAAGAAGATTTTCGTGATTTATGCTTGCGTTCAGCTTCTTCTGACGTGATTTTTAGTAGATTCATCTAATTCTCGCTCCACACTTACTTAGCTTACGCCACTTTGACGTTCGAATAAAATTACGAGCATAGCTCATTCCAAAGCTTACAGCTTATATATATCTTCCTCCTTCGTGATCTTTGATGCAGATGAAACATCATTTGGAAAACTCAAAGATCATTCTATGAGTAGCATGCACTCATCCCCACTACAAGGACCAGATTCTAAAGTAAGCCAAACTATCAACTTTCTTATTACCAAATCAAGTTGTATTTCTCTCCTCCGCTTTTACAGTACGTGTCTTTTTCCTACGTACTCAACTCACCACATAATAAGCAAGTCTCAAATATATGCTTAGTTAATTTCTATAACAATGGAGAGGCAACTGGCCGAGTTGCCAGAATGAGAAACTAGCATTCAAAAACACCAGTAACTTAACCTCCTTAACAATAGAACAGTCCATTTCAACATTTGCAATGAAACAACTTTGGAACCAACTGACGTTCATTAGTATCCAGAATTCCGTGTGTTTGTAAGTAGATCTAACCACAATTTGAGCAATAAAAATATTCTTGAAAAAATATTGAAGCCAATATACATACCGTCAAAAAATCGCATAGGTGCCACCGGCTTCACATTTTTATCAAGATCATTAAATAACTCTCGTGTTGCAACAGCAAGTGAATGAGAAGATTGATCGACTGCATTGCTTCTGACTGGAGGAGGATACCTGAACACAAGACATAAACAACCAAAACAAGAAATCTTAGCACTGAAGACTGTTGTAGCACAGCTGCTTTGAAGGCAAACTTTTTTCCTAGGAAAGAGACAACTTACTGTATCAAAGCAGATTTCAGTTCTGGGGCCGAATGCAAACATCTACTATGGAGTTCATATAGCAGGTATTTCCCAGATTCATTAAATAATATCCAAAAAAATATGCACAAGTGTGTCACACAATAGCATAAATAACCAAATATGTACGACAGTTATCCTTGAACTTGTCTTCCTTTCAGGAACATATTGATACTTTGATATGTCGTTAGAAAATGACTGAGTCCATAGAATAAAAGAAGTTTTGATTTTCGACTTGAATAACCTCTTCAGCAAAAACAGGACCCTTTGCTGGTGCCTTTACAACATCTGCAATTCCCATCATCATTAATTCACAGCAAAAGTTACTGAAAGTAAATTAAACTCAGTTCAACCAAATCCTTATCCTATTTAGATTCACAGTGAAGATTAAACTACATTTTACTTAATTTAGGCATTCTTTATTAGTTCCCTGAATCTTTATTCAGAAGTGAGCAAATACTAGCAAAAATAATACTAAAGCAATAGTCAAACTCGACATAAGTTCTTTGAGATTCAGTTATTCTGTTTGGTCACAATCACCAGTTCACACATGTGTTAGCTAAACTGATGGCTTATGATTCTTTTACTTGTTTGTGTTGATTTTCTAATTATAGTCTATATTGAAGGTTATTGGTGTAGTAGTGTTACTGTTTTAAGTTTTTAAATCTATTCACAGACGATGTGATAAACATCAACTGAGATCAAATGGTGCCTTCATTAACATACTTTGCTAACACCTGCAAAATAAATGAGGATGCAAGAATCTTTAACATAATTGCCAGTATCAATAAGAATGTTTTGTATTTTCCTGATGGTTTGGGGAAGCGAACAATGTTTTGTATTTTCCTGATGGTTTGGGGAAGCGAACAAGAAGGCTTGTGTTAAATCTCCTATTTTTGTTACTCGGTTCTACAGCTTTGGAGCAAACCTATTAGTTTTAAATAATGATATGCTTAGTTTTCGATCCCATTGCTCAAATCCACTCATGCCAAATTATTCAGATTAGAAGACCAAAAGAAGAATTCACAGAAAAAGAAGAAAGAACACTGTTTTTTGAAAATGTCAAATCTCATGCCTACATCAGATTAGACCCCAGAAAAACTTTTGTGTAACAACTTTAATAACACTGGTATATTAGTCTCTCCCCAAAATAACAGAGGATGTACAGCAATCATATGCAATCAATCTATACTCATTAAACTACTACTATCAAATGAAGTCTAAGGATTGTGATGTATTTTTTGTGAAAAAATCTTCGATCCTCCTATCCAATTTAGATAATTTAGATTTTTCGGCGTCTTTGGTCTCAACTGCTTTACCCAGGCATATCTTGCATTTTTTTATGGCTCGTTCTTGATCGGTACCACTTGTTGGTGCTAATCCATCATGCACCATTTTCACTCTCATCAGATTCTGGGCCATCAATTTTTTTTTACCTTCGATAACCCAATCTTGAAACCCAATCTTGAAGATCGCATATTGCGTTCATTCTAAGCATGTAGCAATTGGATTCCCTTCGAATTACAGACCATTCAGTTTGCCCCATTGGTAGAGAGGGACGAGAGAGAAAGCGAAGCGAAGGTAGGGAGTGCGGCCTTAAGAAACGATAGAGAGTTTGTAGGAAAGTACTTTTATTGCTTAAGTGCTTGTTGGATTTCTTGGATGGTTACAAATGAGGACCCTACCTCTATTTATACTAGACCACCTCCTCAATGGACGGTGGAGATCTATTTGATCTAACGGTTGGGAGTGGTTCACTAGAACACTCCAAAGAATTCCTACAAAATATCTACAAGGGAGGGTTCTAGAATATTTTCTAAAATCCTCCAAGAATCTCTACTCCTCTATACATTTGGGCTAACTTGGGCCTAACTCTATTTGGGCTAAATCTTGGGCTTCTTAACCTCCCAACCCAAGGAAAACTGGCAAGGGGTTAGGCCAAAACTAGCGGGTCGTGACATGCAGCTGGAGAGATAAAAAAAAAGGCGTCCCTGTGTTGTAAATATAGTAAATCTATTTGGGGTTTATTACCATTTCTGCCCCTGTGGTTTCCAAATGGGCCTATATTAAAACCATCTTAAACCGATATTAACGTGCTCCAAGAATAGACTATTATTGGGCCTATTTGGCCATTCAGAGTAGGCACGGCCACGGGCCGGGTTGGACCGGGACCCGACCCGGATTTGGAACCGCCCCGCCCCAGAACGGAGCCGCACCCCTTGGACCTGGACCCGGACCCGACTTTACATGGGGTTGGTTTCGGGTCTTGATTTATTGGACACGAGACCCAACGGGTCTACCCGGCGGGGGGACCCGAGGACCCATCGGGTCCACCCGAATAAAAAAAAAAAAAAAAATTTAAAAATGCAACGGCTATAAACCGGATCCGACCCGGTCCATAAATTCAATCTTTTTTTTTTTTTTTCAAAAGCTAGAAACTCGGGTCCACCCGAAACCGACCCGGACACGACCCGAATCCAGTCTGACTGAATTCAAAAAAAAAATCCAACGGTCAAGATTTAAAAAAAAAATCAAAATCAAAAGATAGTTTTGGACCCGAACCCGACCCAGACCCTGAAGGACCCGAGTGGACCTGGCTCGGACCCGCCTACACATGGGTCAGTTTTGAGTCCCCAAAAAGTAGGACCCCGACCCAACCCTCCCGTGGCCGTGTCTAATCAGAGTAGATAGTTGTTCTATTTTCCCCATTTATGGCTACTATTTTAAAGTTAAACTTAAGAAAACGAGAAATGAAATGATAAATACAGAACGATTTTTAGTAAATGCATGTTTTTCTTTCTTTTTTTTATTGTGGATTAAAAGCACAAAATAAAATGGTGGAACAATTCGATCTAAGAAAACTTCACAAATTCTGAAGAAAAAAACGAGCATTAGCAGTAGACATTAGTCTAAGTTATGCACAAAATTTGATAAATTCGTGTTTTGACAACTAATAATGCGATATTCAGGCAAAATTAATGTTCGAAAGAAAAAGATTGGATTATACTAAATTTTACTAATTTATTAAATAAAATGACCTACGTTTCCTGACAGACGTCCTGTATTTATCAAGTCCCATTAATAACGCATTAAAACATTTGAGTATTGTCTTTCTTTTTTTGTTCGAGAAGAAAACATTAACTAATTTCCCACAGTTGAAGCTATCTCATTCATAACCTAAGACCAGTTGCAGTTATAAATGCAACAATTAATTAATTAATTTACATAAACATTAAAAACACTTATTAATGCCCATTCTTTAATGCAATCCAATAACATCTTTTATTTCAATGTTTGCATATAAATAATAAACCCCCATTGCTTCAATTCTCTCTCACGTGTTCAACATCTCTATTTCTCTAGTGACATTTATCTATATAAATAAACATATATTACAAAATCTTTATAATATATCTATCACTTCTACAATTTTATGGTTTCAAGGAGTGCACAGGGCACACTATGGTGCTTTATTTGGGCTATTTCGATAGCCGTCCTATTGAATTCGGGCTTCATTCAAGCCCGAAGAACTATCGGGAACATGAACGTAATTGACAAGTGTTGGAGGACCAATCCCAATTGGCGCAGCAATCGTCACCAATTGGCGACTTGTTCCGTTGGCTATGTCGGCAAAATGAGAAACAATACCGGGCCGGACGTGACAAATTATAAGGTTACCGATCCAAGTGACGACGCACTTGACCCAAAGCCCGGAACGCTGAGATATGCCATGACCAGCATCAAAGGTAAAGTTTGGATCACATTCCAACGGGACATGAGCATAAAACTCGAGAAACCACTCCTCGTCAACAGTTTCACCACGATCGATGGAAGAGGAGTCATTGTTGATATTGCGTACGGCGCTTGCCTACTCCTTCAAGAGGTACGGAAATTCACAACTAATTTTTCTATCTTTTTTTGGGTTAATCGCATTCATTCTCACAGCACTCGTTAGTACTGAAAAAAATAAAAATAACCTAAAAATATAGGCGAACAATGTGATCATCCACGGGCTCCGGATCCACGATTGTGTGGCTCAAGGGGCGGGCCCGGTGATGGGCCCGAATGGGAAGATCGTGCAGCTAGGCCCGGTGGATGGTGACGCTATACGAATGGTGGGCTCTTCGAAGATATGGGTCGACCACAACACATTGTTCGATTCCCATGATGGGCTGATTGACGTCACTAGGGGTTCTACTGACATCACTATATCGAACAATTGGTTTAGGTTCCAGGATAAAGTGATGCTTTTAGGTCACGACGATGGTTTCCAAGCGGATAAGGGTATGAAGGTCACTGTTGCTTTCAACCATTTCGGCCCTCATTGCCAACAGAGAATGCCGAGGTACAGTTTTACAGCACCTAACAAAAGTTCTATTCTGATTTCTACCTTCATCTACGTTCAATTAAAGACTTCCTCACAAGCTCGTGCAAAATTTATCGAAAACAACAAAAGTAATCGTTACCAAATGCTTATTTGTAGGGTTCGATTCGGATACGCACATGTGGTTAACAATCTTTACCTAGGATGGGGACAGTACGCCATTGGAGGAAGCATGAACCCTAACATCAAGAGCCAAGCAAACCTCTTCATTGCACCAGAAGGAAACAACAAAGAGGTATGTATACACATATACATACTAACATACTAAAATTATAAAACTAGGTTCTCATAAAACTGTATAATCCTATATTAGCAACCAAACGAAGCCTAAGTTCACGAAGTAAAAAAAAAAAAAAAAAAAAAAAAAAAAACTAATTCATTCTAATGTAGATAACATGGGATAGCAGTGAAGACGGCAATTTCATGTCTATACACGATGTATTCGAAAACGGAGCCTCGTTCAAAGAATCGCTCGATGAAGGTGCAGTGGTGAGCCCAGACTATAGACCTGACCAGAATTTCGAGGTGGCTGATGGAAGGGTAGTTAGGTCTTTAACAAAATCTGCTGGTGCTTTAAAATGTCCAAGAATTTCCAGATGCTAAAGTCGGAAAAAATTCACACAAGTCCTACGCATCTACTATACTATACTATACTATTTTATGTCCAGTACAAAGGACTAACTATCCTGATATTCTCTAGTAATACACCTTTTTCTGGTGAAATTTCTGGGACGGAATTACTACTGCAGAAGAAAATATAAATAATCCATATATTACGGAATATCTCCAGTACTAGTTTAGAAGTTAACTCTCTTTTCAGCTTTTGGAACACATATTTAAGTTTGGCTGATATTTTAACATCTGCCTCGATTAATTTTTGAGATGTAACTGGTGAAGGTCTGAAGGAAGAAAAATCAAATAGAATGAACGGTATAATGGATCCCGATAAACTAATGTATTTAACAAATTAAGAGAAAGGCAGTTACAAACATGGTTTTTTCGTCAAATGTGGCTAGAGTCGGATAATAGTTTAATATCTCAACAACTGAACAGAAGCCGTTGGTTATATAGAAACTTCTATCGTCATCATATTACAGATAAAACAAAATGATTTAAATGAGCAAGAAATCGTCTGATCAAACCTAGATGAAGGACTACATGGAGATATCGCGGGCCTTGTACATGCAAATATAAGCCATGTGCCAGTCACCTAGAATCAAAGTAAGATAATTATTTGTAAATAAATATGCACAAGTGTGAATACTTTTCTAGAGAATTGAGTATTTAAGGAAAGGGTGATTTTGCGACTGCAAAATACTAAATAACGGAATGTTACGTACCGCCTCCCGAGAGTCTGGTGATGTCTTCCGCCCGTTGTGGAATTGGATTATCATCATCAAATTCAATCCATTTGCCTGCAGTTGCATAAAGTTGTATACATAAAATAAATTTGACAGTGGAATATATTTCAACTTAGATAATATTTTGTTTCAAAAGACCCACCGTTTTCTTGCTTAACCCAGGCAACGTAATGCCCGGAATCAGCACTTCTACCCTTATGCGTGAGCACAGCAACCAAATCATATACCCCTGTCAGGTGCTTCTCTTTCTCAGGAGGAACACCTGAAATAAGATGTACAGGTAAATACCATATAGCGAAGAGATAAATTCGATCTGGAACAACCGAGATTTCCTCGTACAAGCCAAGAAAGGGGATAATAAAAGGAGATCGAATTGTTTACTGCAATTATTCAAGACTAGGAAATTTAAGCAGAGAATGGTATAACTATTAACAAAGATTCCATTTTTCCCATAATGCTTCTAAGCTTTTACCCTAAATAAAATTTCTTACAGCATGAGAATACCTTCTCCAGGAGCAGATTTAGATGAATCCCCAGTTTCATTTGATGACCCCTGCATGATACAAAGAAATATAAACTTAATTTAGATCTTAAGAAATCAGAAATAGAAAGTCTAATCGCCCTCTTTCTATCCTTTACTGTCTCTAGATCAGATAATTGCATACCTCAGCATCAGTCATCTTGACATCAGTGTTCGAAGAAGTTGAGCTGTTCTCATTAGTTTTCAGACCAAGCTTCTTGCCTTCTTCATCTCTTAGGTGCTGATTATTGATGTTTTAATGATTATAATCCAAACGAAAAAAAAACAGAGAACTAGAGAAAAATGATGTATCAACTTGAGTTTTATCGAAGAGTAAGGAGAAAAGTTTGTACCTTTCGAGGAACTTCCAACACCTTGCGAAGATCATCCGAGCAAAAATCATACACATCTAACTCCAATGGGTAGTCAACTTTCTGCGAAATAATAGCAAATATGTAATGAGTGATGAATAATAGTCAACGTTTAACTGATAATCAAACTTAAGTACTAAACAATTTGTTTCAATTAAATTGACCTAACATTGATACTATTGGAGAGGTTCGAGCATAATAAATGATGATATACATTTTCATCTAACTAAAATCCCTATTAGAATGGGAGGAGACACATTACTATACTCAATTATAACAAGTTCAATGGATTTTACATGATGACCTTATGCTCTCGCAATTTTACTTATTCAAGCCGTTTCATAATAAACCCGAGTATTTTGAATTGGAAAGAATAACAATATATTACCCGCAGAATTTTTGCCTTCTGGTTTGTTTCTCTTTTCCAGAAAAAGCGTACAAATTGAACAGTCAAGTATCTGTAATTTGGAGAATAAAGATTAGTATCCTACCTGACATGGAAATTATTCGAGAAAAGGTAATATGTAATTCAGGTTTCACCAGGACCGGCAACAATATGCAAAGAAACACATGAAATAGAAGATCCGACACGGACCAGAAAAGAAAAAGCATTTTAATAGGTCCCTAATACCTTGGCAAGCCATTTATGCGAGAATCTTTTGAATAAATAGCAGTACGTCCCAGAGCAGGGGAAGACTTCTCCAGTTCTGATTTCAGACCCTAAAAACATAGAACAGCAAAAAATTACTCCCAACATCCTTTACATGATAATGGAATGGCATCCTCAATAAAGTACACAAAGCAAATCTGCTGCATCTAAGCAACTCAAAAATTAATTTATGAAATTTATAACCAAAGACATTCGTCATCCTAAGATAACAAGACTTGGATATCAACACAGCAATCTTCTGATACGAGTAAAACTTTGGAATGGTTAAAAATCATGGCAAACCCAACAATAAGATAAAAACAGCTATGCACATCCCCACTAGGAACAACCAAGACAATTTAAATATAGAGTAAGTCAGCTTTAACATATTCAGATCGCAATTCCGCAGACAGTAATGTATCAGAATTACAAGTGACCCTCTAAATCAGGCCCAGAAACGAGGCAATGTTAGCTCGGATTTGCACATTATAGTGCCAGTTCCTAGATTCCTAGAGCTCCTCTCACTAGTATGCAGATAATCAGAATACGTTTCAATGTGCATACATGCTAAACGTATTAAGATTTTTAACCAGCTGACCCTACCCCATCATTTCCAAGGGTTCATCACTATAATGACTATCAAGAAAACAAGTGACAAGAAAATTTATGTCTTAGGGACATAAGTAACCAAGGAAAGGCATTTGCAATGAACAGCAGACTCAACCCCATGTCAGATAATATTGAGAATGAAGTGGGAATCAAGCGAAGAACTATCACACAAGAATGTATTGTGAAGACAACAGTGTCAAACTTACATGTTTTAAACCTTCATGCAGATGGTTCACCTCTTGCGAAATATGGCATTTCAGTGAATAAACTGATTCTGTTTCGGTACTTTCTTCACCACTTTCAGCACAATGGACCCTAGCCACAAATCATTAACGATGAAAATAGGTAAATGAGTTGCTTGATATGTATTTTATGCACCAGATATATTTCCTTCACAACGGCACATGGAGAGCATAGGAAAGGGAAATATATGGTAGTAACAAAAAGGATATGAGAACTTTCTCAGCAAGGTATGATAATCGACTCAACACAGATTGGAAGTATGTTTGAGAAAATTGTAATAAACAAACATTAACGTAATAGTTTACATTGAAACTATGTTTGAGAACATCATAGGCAACAATACACAGTTGGCAAACAATAATAACAAGTAACAATAGAATCTACTGAACACAAGATTGGAAGTATGTTTGAGGGCATCATATCAACAATATATAGTTGGCAAACGAAGCAGAATTACTTAAATACCAATATAAATACTTCAGCAACACTAAAACACATAAAATGGCAAAACTTGCTAATGAAGGTAACATAAGAAAATTAGTTAACCTGCTAACAAGGTCGACACCAAAAAGTCTCTTCACTGTATCAGCATCTTCACTGTAAAAAAAACGATATATATTTTACATACTGGTAAGATAATGCAGAGAGGACTTTTTTAGATACAGGATATAAAAACAAAAACTAATTAAAAGACAAGAAATATTCTGATGAGAAAGGACAGCAAATAGATGACATCAATTGGACCAGAAAGTAACCACTAAACTGTGTTAAATAGTTTGCTATACTGTTACCCCGAGATAGTATACACAAGTGGCATCTGTTTAATAGTGATGAGGTAAGTGTGCTACCTGGAACTAGGAGATTTCAGGGCTAATGAAAGGGTGAATAGAAGTTGAGTCCAGCATTCTTCAGCATCCTAGGAATAACGACAGTTCCAGCATGAGAAAATTTATAAGGGAAAATGTGAAAAATGAGCTCAATAGCACCTATAATACCTGTTGCATGTAAATTCCATTGTGAAGCTGGGCAAATTGAGGATACTTGCTCCGCAATGCCTAAAACATAGGAGACAGTCAGATATTTTCTACTTAGGATTGCTTACACAATTGCAGAATGACAAAAATATGGCGCCTTAAAGTGCATTTGATTGTTCGAAAGACATATTACATGCAATAAACAAAAAATACCTCATGTTAAAACAAATAAATTCCATACCGTCAAAAATCGCATAGGTGCCACTGGCTTCACATTTTTATCAAGATCATTAAATAGTTCTCGTGTTGCAACAGCAAGTGAATGAGAAGATTGATCTACTGCATTGCTTCTCACTGGAGGAGGATACCTGAAAGCAAGACATAAACAACCAAACAAGAAATCTTAGCACTGACGACTGTAGTAGCACAGCTGCTTTGAAGGCAAACTTTTTTCTTAGGAAAGAGACAACTTACTGTATCAAAGCAGATTTCAGTTCTGGGACCGAATGCAAACATTGTACTGTGGAGTTCATATAGCAGGTATTTCCCAGATTCATTAAACCAGCAGAATGACCCTGTAGCAAACATCAGAGGACCCTCATTGACCAAACTTAAATTTTCAAAAGAATGTCAGAGTGTTAAACTCACGAGCACAATAATATCCAAAAAAATATGCACAAGTGTGTCACACAATAGCATAAATAACCATATATGTAAGACAGTAATCCTTGAACTTGTCTTCCTTTCAGGAACATATTGATACTTTGATATGTCGTTAAAAAATGACTGGGTCCATAGAATAAAAGAAGTTTCGATTTACGACTTGAATGACCTCCCAAATAACGTAATCAAACTATGTACCCCACTAACTTCTTATAATACTTCAGCGCAAAACTAATATTAACACATTCAGCGTTCAGTTAGTGCTAAGAGATTCAAGAGTATTTCCTTTTCTATTCCAGATTCAACCTATCATATCAGAGTATAGGAAAAACTTTTAGCTCTTAGATAATATATGTCAGGCGTTTTCTGCTATAATTTAAAGAACATGATGAAACTTACAACAGCAACCACTAATTCTTCTTCGGGCATGTCTTCAGCAAAAACAGGACCCTTTTCTGGTGCCTTTACAATCTCATCTGCAGTTCCCATCATCATTAATTTTTGGCCCTGTACCAAATAAGAGAAACATGGAATAATTGAAACATATTCTACTATAGTAATCAAACAAGTCTCGTCCAATGCAGAATAACTTTTACCTCTTTCACTCCTACTTTTGACCAATCTGCATCGTCCTGTATAGTTTATTAAAGAAAAAAAAAAGGCAAGGCATCAATAACTTTATTCATCTCCAACGGTAAAGAAAATTTCAACGTTGTTGCAGAATCTACATACTAATATACAGTTGATTCGTTTAAACTCTAAGAGAATACCAACACTTATTTGCATTTCAAGATGTCACCATTCTTTAAAAATGTTGCTCTATACCTTTAATAAACCACCTTTGACCATAATCTTTTGCCTTTCAGGTGGAACTCCAGTTAAGTCATACAGCTGGCACTTGAAAACATATGGGGTTTGGGTAGTATCTATCTCCACATTGGAGAGCAATTCCTTTTGCCACTTTACACTAACTGTAAAAATAAATCAGACATAATTAGCTTAAATAAACGTGCATTATGATGTTGCTTCAAAATAATTCAGCTAGAGTTAGAAAATAATGGAAAATGATAAAAAAAAAAAAATTAATTTCAATGCAATTCCTCAGATGACAGTCATGTTCAAAATATCAGAAACTCCTTACCATTAGACAACTGGTCATCTAGAACAATATGTCTAGCTCGAAGAAATATAACCAATCTTCTTTATCTCTCCTCTTCCTAACCTATATTTCTTTTGATCAGGATATCTGATTAGATATTTTTTTTATCAGGCTGATTTTCGAGATGGTATGGCGATTGAAGTCCAGAAACACATGAACCAGCTACACCCTTCAATACGACATTCAACGCTCTCCTACAATTTTCCATCGTTTCTAAACATTTTAACACCGAATAAATATTGTTTCGAGCATTCCAACTATAGTGTAGTATATCAAACTTCAGTGTTCCCACATGCACAAACTCTACACGGTGTGCATCAAATTCACAATTCTATTTCCTAACAGATCGGCTCAAAATAATTCAAACTAATTTCCTCACACTCAAGTTCCAAAAAATTGAAGTTCGAATCATCTATCGTGCCTCAATCGAGAATTAACTAGACCCACCAAAACCCTCGAAAAAATGATACAAATTATATCAAAACACATACGCTGAATAACCTAAAACTTGCACAAATCATGCTCGAACATTGTGTCGACAAAAATTTAGAAAATCAAATACAAAACTATATATACATATGCTGGAGAAAAAGCTTCTTCCGAATTAATTGAAATATCCATTAAATTGGGAAATGATGAATAAGGAGAGGCTATTCTGACCTGTCAACATGGTTGCGAAGAGCTTCGGAAGGGGGAAAGATCGGAAGTCGGAGCTTCACTGCGTGTTGTGCGTGTTTCTTAGCTTGCGCAGAGGGGCAAATTATGCGAAGAGGTGTATATATAGGGCTAGCCAAATAATTAGAGTGTAATTTCAGTTTTCCTCATGATTATAAATTAGAAGGGTAAATTACAAACACCCTCTGAGGTATGGTCAAATTACAAAAACCCCCCTCTTGTTTGGATAATTACATTTACCCCCCTCAACTATGATATTTTCTTACACCTCCACCCTCATGGTGCCGAATTCAACATAATCATCTAGATTCCGTGGAATGTGCTCTAGTTTGTACTCGTTTTGTGTAAAAATATAGTTTCCGATGCACCACAAACTGATATATACAAGCTAAAAATCACATATTATGATCATCTTGCTTCATAATGTAGATTTTGAATGGGATAAAACGGGTACATAAGTGATAATATTCCATATAATCTCGAAGATTCCACTAAATTTGAGGAGTTGAGGGGTGGTTGTAATTATCCAAACAAGAGGGGTGTTTTTGTAATTTGACCATACCTCAGGGGGGTGTTTGTAATTTACCCAAATTAGAATTATATTTTAAAGGGAAAGGATAAAATATGTAAATTTACTTTTTACGGTTCAGTCCCTAGTACTATATTTTGTACATCGTACTCTTCCTTTTTAAGTTTTACTTATAGTTAACTCTATAGCTACCCGAAATATCGAGAATGCTCTTCATTAATTGATTTTCTATTTTCTTCTTTTTTTTCTTCATTTTAGGTATACATGTGATATAACCAAACGTCTCTTTATTCATCGTCCGAATATATAATTATAGTTCTCAAACATGTTTGAAATTTTGGAAAAAATTGGACACATGATTGAATTTTCTTTCTTGAGGCCTATTTTTGCAGCAACAAACAAAACACAGTGTTGTCTTCATTCATATACGAGTTTTGTTAACATAACACGATAATAGCGAAGCAGGAAACCATCGTACTCTACGACACACTATCAATACCAAAGAACAGTTATACTATCGGAACAATCAAAAAATACAATACATATCTCTAACGACAGCCTAATTGTCGAAAATACTCAAAACACAACACACTGCTTTAAAATTCCTCAAAAACGTGCGTTGCAAAGATGAAAAAGATAGGGATCATCAAACTCCTGCAACGAAATAACAAATTTTACTATGCTAGGGTTTAAGATTAGGGGAAAACTAATTTGCAATAACTATTCAATTATGTAAGAACAAGAAATCGAACCTTCAAAGTAGGGTACACAACAGCTTTAAACTGCAATGTGAATTTGTGGAAATTTCCTCCGTCTCCTCTTTCTTCTTCCTTGACCTTTCTGTATTTAATTTTATAGTCGTCAGTTTCTCTCGTGCGAATACAAAATATTGTGACTTACAGTGATTTCGAAATAAACGAATACAAATATAAAGTTGACGTTGTCCCCAAAAGTTATCGGACACGTTTTTTCCGAAAATATTTGTCGGAACACGCTTTTCAAATATGTATTGAAAACGATTTTGTTAAAACACGTTTTTTTCGAATATCAAGTTATTTGAAAATTATATTTTCTTTCCAAATATTTGTACCAAATATATTTACCATTTACAATAGAAGATCCATCAAACGAATAACTTGGTGAGAAAATGTTGATTTTTTAATCTTTTTTTAAAAGTAATTCGACACGATTTTCACTTTCTTGCACTTTGTACGCTCGAAGTTAAGTTGGATGTAGAACTAAATAATAATTTAATTTGTTATTTTGCACTTTAGAAAAAAAAAAAAAGAACCCAACAAAATATAAAATTGCCATTTTTATGTTTACTGAGCATTGTAAATGATTTATTGTGTTTTAAAGATGCAAAGTGCTATTAATTTTTTTAAGAATGCAAAATGCGGAAATACTACATTTCAATGGTGCAAAGTGGAATCAAGCCCAAGTATGTACCAATACTAGGATAGTAGGATATACGGTCTATTTTTACTCAAAAAAAAAAAAAAAAAAAAAGGATATACGGTCTATTTAAAAAAGAAAAATAAATGATTTTTTAAAGGAAAAGACGATAAAACCCCCAATATTACCTAGCATAAAATTAGTATGGTAATTAAGCACAATTAAGGTTAATTACAGATAACAGGGGGCGGTGGAATTAGAAAACTGAAAAAACCCAAAAATTCAACTATTGTTGGTCGGCTCTGGCCGCGAGTTCTTCGTCTTCTCGACACTGGTCACTCCTTTCAATTCGGTTCAATCAATTCGTAAACATTACCAATTGAGCAAATAAACCCCGACCCGAACCCGAAACCAAATGTACGGCGGCTCAAAGATGGGTCGCGGCGGCGGCGGCGGGGGAAGTGCCGGAAAAAGGAACATTCACGCGCCTCCTATCAACCGCAGCGCCCCCGCCGGCCGCCTCTCTGTGGGCGGTGGTCCTCGCGGCCGCGGCGGCGCATCTTCAGCTGCGATATCACCTCCATCAACATCTTCGTTGCAGTTGGAGGAGAGTTTTAGCCTTGTTAGGGAGAATCCTTTGAGTTTCGGGATGGCAATAAAGCTGACGCCCGACCTCTTGGAGGAGATCAAGCGCGTGGAGGCACAAGGTGGCACGGCGCGTATGAAATTCGATGTGAATGCCAATAATCCTAATGAGAATGTGAGTTTTGTGAATTTTTAAGATATGGCATTCTTGTTGAATCTTTCAATTCCATTAGCGGTTGTCTTTTTTATTTATTTTTAATGTGGAGATTGAGGTTTAGCTGGACTTTTAGAACGATATTTGATGGACAATTTGTGAAATTTCAGGACTATTGCTCTGATTTTGTATTGACTTTTGCCTTTTACTGCTGACTGTCTAAATCGAAGCATGGATTTAGGGTTTAACTGTATGTTTAAATTTGTCACCATAGGAATTAGGCTGGATTTGCTTAAAATTCGTTCGGTTATTCTTTGCAAATGTTGAAATGGACTGTTCTATTGTTAAGGAGGTTAAGTTACTGGTGTTTTTGGGTGCTAGTTCCTCTGGCAACTCGGCCAGTTGCCTCTCCATTGTTATAGAAATTAACTAAGCATAGATTTGAGACTTGCTTATGTGGTGAGTTGAGTAGGAAAAAGACACTGTAAAAGCGGAGGAGAGAAATACAACTTGATTTGGTAATAAGAAAGTTGATAGTTTGGCTTACTATAGATTCTGGTCCTTGTAGTGGGGATGAGTGCTACTCATATAATGATCTTTGAGTTTTCCAAATGATGTTTCATCTGCATCAAAGATCACGAAGGAGGAAGATATATATAAGCCGTAAGCTTTGGAATGAGCTATGCTCATAATTTTGGTCCTACAAATGGACTATTCGTTCAACTATTGTCTATAAGTTCTTTCCCCTTTTTTGCTTTTTTTTTTTTTTAATTTTTTATTTTGATTCATAGTGATACATTTTGGAGCTTGGAGCTAGTAGAGATTGTAGACATTTTCTTTAGCAACCAAGTTTAAAGCATTAAATAATGTATTTTCTGCATCAGCATGGTATGAGCGTTTTTTTACATTGCTGCAAATAGGTTACGATTCTAGACATATTTACCTCATAAATATCATGGTAACCATTTTATTAGGATTTTTTCTAAAAATGAATTTCTTATACATTATGGTGCTATCTTCCTTGAGTGACTCGATGGAGATGAAGAGAACCTATTGACCTTGCTTGCTTCTCTGTGTGTTCCTATACAAAACCATGTGCTGTTATTCATCTTCTTTCAGTTTGATACGTCTTTCTAGAAATTTGTTATGCTGCTCGATAATATTTACCTATTATTTGATTATTGAATTATTTGCATTTTGCTTACTTTAATATAATCTACATAATATTTTAATTTGTGATACATTTTGCTATGCGGTTTTGTTTAGCCTTCAGATTGAAATGTGGATCTCAATATGCGGTTTTGTCATGTGGTTTATAATTGGATCTTAACAAGGGCTTCAATATGATTAATTTCCCTGTTTTTTTTCACCAGGTTATTCACGTAGGGGATAAGAACTTCAAGTTTACATGGTCAAGGGAACCAGGGGACCTTTGTGACATATATGAAGAACGTCAAAGTGGTGAAGATGGAAATGGCTTGCTTGTAGAATCAGGTGGCACTTGGCGTAAGCTAAGTGTGGAGCGAGAATTAGATGAATCTACTAAAAATCACGTGAAAAGGCTGTCAGAAGAAGCTGAACGCAAGCATAAATCACGAACGTATGCTTTCTCTCCCTGAAGTTTTCATTCTATGTAAATCTATACACTTGCCTTTCCTGATTTGTCAGGGCACTACTTTTTAATTATTTGCAGAATGACTTATATTTCCATGAGCATTCAGCATACCTACCCTCTCTGAGGTTATACTAAGTTTGTAGTATAAAAATGACAAAAGGTCTGTAGCTTAATAAGTTGAAAATTGGGGATTATAGTCATAATCATGTCATGCTTGTGTGCAAAACCATCAGAGGAATTTTGAAAGTGACTTTTTCTCTCTTCTCTCTTTTGGGTGGGTTGGGATGGGTGATGAGGTGATGGTGATTTTTAAATATATGCTGCCATGCTCATATTAGTAGGACGTGTAAGTTATAGTATCTTCCGTTGAACTATGCTAAACCTGACAATCCGTCCATAGAAAAAATGGGTTTTAATTTATATCTTCTCGAACTTAGTGATCTTAAATATAAATTATTTCATCATGTCTTAAATTTTCTCTGACGTGTTTGAAATTTTTGCAAAGATAGCGTTATTATAGACTAATATAATGGGGGAAGGTCCAAAAATTAAAAACTAGTCTAAGTCTCTGATGCTAGATTTTCTTCTGTCTTAGTTCCACTTTAATAGCGTAAGAATAGTTGTGCTGCATATTTCCCAAGTATATAGATACGATGAGCGGATGGATTAGTTGAAGTTGTTCAAAGTAAGAGTTCAGAGAAGGAACAATATAAACTGAGCACATTTTGAGGGGACATGGGTGGAATTTAGACTAAGTAATTTCTTATAAGTTTTTCACTAATCCCTTTTTTTTACCTGATACAGATCCATTGTCTTAGACGGTCAAAACCCATCTGTGAAGAATCAAAGAAAGCCAGAGTGTAAGTCATTTTACTTTCATGTGCATCTGTCTACCTTTGTGCATGCACTGTTTCATCATACTAGACCTCATTTGATATTTGCGAAAAGCTTTATCTGGAATTTTATCTTGTTCACTATTCAAAAACCCACTTTTGTGAATGTCAGAGGATATACCTTTGCATTGATCTCTTCTTTTGGCAGCTGCAGTCTGTAGCTATTTCTAATTATGTGCTGCTATGATTTCGGAAAATCTTTTTAAAAAAGAAGAAAAAAAAAAAAATGTGCCTGGACGTGAAGGGAAGAGATGGTTGTCCTAGAAATTATATTACCATTTTGTTCTGTTTCATGCATTTTGAAATTTCTTGCATTTCCTTTATCTTAAAAGTCGGGGCTTGAAAATATCAGTTGCGATTATGTGTTTTATTCATTGATACGTTGACCAAATGACCACTTATCTGCTCTATTTTGGGAATAGACACAGCAAAAGCTCTGCTTTCTCCTAAAATATTTTATTTTCAATTTGTTTATTTTATTACTTTACCATGAAGAACTTTTGATACATTAAAAAGTTAATCATCTTGGAAAGATCTAACAAAATTAGTGAACTATCAACACTTATGATCTCTAAATACATCTTTGCATTATCGTGCACTGTGATTGAAATTACTCATTGGTGATGAGATTACAGGAATCTTCCTAATCTGGAAAAATGTACTCTAGTTTTAGTAACTTATCTTATAGAATTTGAGAGCCCTCGGTGGTCTTTCATGGTATGGACAAATAATGAAATTTGCACTTTAAGTTGAAAAAGTTTGAGCTTCACAATTCTAATCAGAAAATATTTTAAGATTCCATAGTATTCTCCTCATTTTCTTTGTAGCTGAACAAGAACGATATCTCGTGTTTTTTATTAAATTCCAACACTTTCAATTTCCCAGAGCCCATGCAAGAATAGGTTCAACCTGCTGCTATATAGCACTCGTTGTCTTACAAATTTGTCACTCATTATTTTTCCACGACATCCCAAAATACAAGGCCATTTTGTAAAAAGGATTTCTGTTTATTGTAACATTCTCTTAATTATTGATGTCACACTAATTCCCAAGAAGCATATACATAAACTTTTTACATTTGCAATAATTTGTTTGTGCGAGTCAAAATGGGTAATTAAGAGTGGAGTGGAATGGAATGTGGAATAGTATTTTGTTCTTGCTCGAAACCACCTTGATCATATGCAAAACAACTACATCAAGTTTGATGCCAAGAAATTCCATTTTCAGCCAATCATTGGAGTAGCAATAACAAGAAAGAGCCTCCTTACAAGAAGCCAAAATCTGGACCACCTGCAGGTAAATTGGAGAATGATTTTTCATGATTGCTTTGCCAATTTGTTTATTATTTGGTTCCTTTTATATATGTATCAAATCACTAGTGAACAATTTTCCCATTACATATATTATGAGAATTTTACATTTTGCCGTTGAATGTATTGCTATATGTATCTTTATGTTAATTATTTATTTCTGAATTAGTGCTTGTTCATGAATTACAACAGGTGGACCGCCTAAGCCTCTCTATAAGTCTGGTTTATCTACAACAACTATTTCAAAGGTTAAGCCCTCTTCTGGGTCACCTTTGTCTTTGCAATCAGACCAACATGGTGCTCCAGCAACTCCAATTGGAAGTGTCAATCTCGTGAAGGGACATCCGAGCGTACCAGATTGTACACCTGCTCAAAATATGAATAAAACTGCTGTCTCAGACAAAGAAATGCAAAGCAAGCTGCCAGGTAGTGCTAACCATGATAAATCTAAACACAATCGGAACACGGAGGCCAAACCTACTGACTTAAGAAGTTTGATAATTTCTCTTCTTCTGGAGAATCAGTCCAAGGGAATGAGCCTTAAGGTAAGATGATGAATTTGAGAAATTTTGTATCAGTATTTACTTCAGTTATTTTTCTTCTATCTGTTCCCACACCTTCCATTGAAAAAAGAGAGTGAAGGTGGGAAGGGAAAAGCCACAGATACGAGGAGGATAATGCATTCGAAATACAAACTATGTAATTAAATTTTCTGTTCTATTGATGGATTCCATAATTTCTTTTGCATATCACCCTTTGCGTTGTTTTGTTTATTAGGCTTTGGAAAAAGCCATTGGAGATGCTATGCCTAATTCTGTCCGGCAAATGGAGCCCATCTTGAAGCAAGTATGTGATATTCTTGATAAAAGTTGTTAGCAAGAATCACAATTTATTTATGCTTATCCAATTTTATTGTCAGATTGCAAATCTTCAAGCTCCTGGGAGATATTTCTTGAAACCAGGAGTGGAGATGGACAGCTTTAAGAAGCCACCTTCTCAAAGTGGAAGGTATGTCCACCTCATCAGGTGTTGTCTGCGTGTGTTTAATGCCTGTGCATGTTTGTATGCGTGCCTTTTCTGTGGATCATGATAGAACATAATAATGGTGTTGATTACTGATTAGTAAGCTTAGGTTTGTATGTAGCCATCTACTAAGATGGAAGAATAATGGTGGTGTATCAGAAAGGTCTTTTCATTTGCCCGATTTTGCAAATATGTCATACGATCAGTATGGAATCAATTAAAAGAAATGTTCAGAATAAAATGCATTGTAATATTTCCCATGCAACCTGGTCTTTTTATTCAGAAAACTTTTACAACGATACTTTTATTCTTGTCAATTCATAATTTCCCATGTGCATTGATGCTTCAAAACTTGCACGCCATACAAATATGTAGTCTGCAACAATTTGTAAGGAAATTTTCTGTTTTTCCTCCCCCCTCCCCCCCCCCCCCCCCCCCCTCTTTTTCTTTTTTCTTTTTCTTTTTCTTTTTCTTTTTCTTTTTATTTTTCTTCTTTTTTTTTAATCTATTACCACTGGATTCTGGAAATTAAGCTAGTCCTATTATTTGAGGTTCCTTGACCATCTTTGACAAGTTAGATATATGTTAGATTCTGGGGTTTCTGTTGGCCATGTTCAAATGAGAGAGTGAAATTGAGCAGAATTATGAGTATATGGTTCCTCAATATAAGTACAAAATGAATGGGGCAAGGCTCTCAAGGGCTTTCTTTGAAGGACTGAGTATTATATGTTGGCCTGTCACTTTTATTTTTGGAAAAATATTGCCCACAAATTGCAATCATTATATCTCAAGACAGATAATGCTAACAAGTAATAGGAAACATAAAAGAGGAAGTAATTGTCTTTTGGAATTGCCAATGATTTTACGCATTGGATTTATTAGCCCTCTCTGTTTATTTTTTAAATAAGTTTTGGGATTTCATAAATCTAGTTTGGTTAAGTTGCTGTAAACGCATCCATATTTGTTGCATCTTGCTTTTTGTGGCTGAAACTGTCCTTGCTAGTGGGTCTTTAACATAATACTCGCCTTCAGGTCTCCAGAAATAAACCGTCAACAATCACATGCCCGCCAGAAGTTTGATAAACTTCCTGCTCAAGATCCCTTTTCCACCAAAACAACGGACAACAATGAAGAACATGATAAATTGGATACAACGCCTTTACATACAGTCGATGGCGTAGAGAAGATTGATATACTACACAGTTCACCAGAGCAGTTTAGTGAGAAAAAAGTTTCCAACATTACCGCAGGCAAGGCAGGCAGCTCTAGTGATAGTGGTAGTGACAGCGACACTGACAGTGATAGTAGTGACAGTGGCAGTGATAGTGGAAGTCATAGCCGAAAAAGTCGAAGCCCAGTGGGTAGTCAGAGTGGGAGTAGTAGCGATAGTGATAGTGATGCATCTTCCAGCAGCAAGCAGGCATCTGATGAAGATGTTGATATTATGACAAGCGATGATGACAAAGAATCGAAGCATAAATTGCGAAATTCTGAACCCGTCACTTCAAAATCCCCTGTTCAATGGAGTCACCCAGATAATGAATCTGTCGATATAGGAAATTATGATGATCATGTCTCTGGTGTGGTTGAGATTGAGAAAGACTCACCTGAAGATGACCATGGTGCTGAAAGGCCTGCATCTTCTTACTTATATCCTAATAAAGAAGGTGAAGCAACTGTTGAAGCGCCTGTTGAAGAGATCAAAACTTCTTCAACTCATCATCAAGAACAAGAAAGACAAGTCTATGACAAAAAAACATATGATGGACCAGACACTGTGGTCAATGATGGCTTCAAACATGGTCAGCCTGTTAATCACGAAAAATCATCAAAATCCAAATCTAAAAGACGAAATGACGGTAAGCACTCTGACGAGAGGGCTCACAGCAAAAAGAAGTTGAAGAGAAAAAACTCGAGTCAACCGGTTTCTGGAACGATAAACTCAATTTTCGGTGATAGTCCTTATAACTCATCACCCGATAGGCCTCTACAAGTCCCCGACAAGGGGGGCATCAATGTAATGGGAAACAGAATGACTAGTGATGGTACTAGCAATCCCAATTCGCAAACAGGTTATAACCAAGTAACTCCCACTAGGTTTGCATCTGATTCTCAGCTGCCAGGTCAAAGATCATTTGAAGCCCGTAGTGCTAAGCACTCTGAAAGAAGCCCTCAAACCAATAAGGGTATGCAGATCCAGAAAGGATTTAACACAGAGGCACGAAGTGAAGATGGTTTGGGTGGCGAGACAAGACCAGTGAAACTTTCGGTGGAAGGTGTTGCAGACAAACATGCAGCAGTGAAGGACTCGCATTACAGAAAACCTGATTCTCTGGGGAGGGTAAAGGAGGCTGTCCCTCATTCTAACTCATACATGAGGTATTCTCCCAAGGATAACAATATTAATATGACGGATAAATCTCCACCAATGAATGGTCGGGGTGGACGTGTACTACAGAGAGAGCTTTCAGAGTTGGAGTTGGGTGAATTTCGAGAACCCTTCCATGAAGAAACCGCTGGGCCTAAGAAGCAAATCGAGAGGAAAAGTACTTCCAAGCAATTGGAAAACAATCCAATGGATTCAGAATACTGGAACTCAGATTTCGGTAAAGGAAAAGGGTCTAAAAAGGTCACTGCAGATCCGGGAAAATTGCCCCCATTAAATTCAGTAGCAGTAATTTCTGGCATTCCAGATGGACCATCTAAAAAGAGGAAGGCTCCAGAAATTCATATCGATAAAAGCACTCGATCTCTGGACCAGCATCATCAATCATGGGGAGATCATATTGAAGTTGGCTCCCAGCACAATAAAGTTCCAGAAACGAGTGGTAAAAGTAGATTTGCTGAAGCTGGAACTGGTCGGGGGGCAAGCTTGGAAGCTAATGGAGATACTTCTAGAAAAGTGTCTGTTACTTCAACAGAGCAGCCAAATGATCTTGTACGAGGAGTTGCTCGTCATACGGCAAAAGAGAGCAAGAAGCAGAAGCCCAATTTGGTAGGTGATTCAAATGATAGACGGAAAAGTGCTTCTTTGACAGTTAACAACGATGGAGGTCAAAAAAGGAAAGAACCTTCTTCAGATGACAACAGTTGTTCGTACACCAAATATGAGAAGGAGCAGCCTGAGCTGAAAGGTCCAATTAAGAATGCCTCTCAGTAAGTATAGATAGTTCCCCTTTTTTTTATTGTTAAATAAACGAAGATTTTTGAAAATCACTACATTTTGTGGCTCGGTTTTATTTAACAATCTATCCTTTCAGGTACAAAGAATATGTGAAGGAATTTCAAGAGAAGTATGAGAGCCATTGCTCCTTGAACAAGATCTTGGAAACTTACAGGTATTTTGAGCTATTATCTGGTCCCATTCCGGGTTTGGTGGTCTATTTATCTGATTGGTGGGTTTTTTGATTTGTTTAGGGATGACTTCAGCAAACTCGGGAAGGATCTTGAGTCTTTCAAAGGCAGGGATATGAAGAGATACCATGATATCTTGGAGCAGATGAGGTCATCATTTCGTCAATGTGGGGAGGTACGCTTAAACTTTATTTCATCAATTTCCTATTAAGAAAACTATAACGCTGAAAACTGCAATCCTTGCTTTAAAAACCTGTTTTATACTTTCAATCGCTTCGATGAATACTATTTCTGGACTTTAAAAGGTGACATTTTGCAGAGACATAAACGGCTGAAGAAAATATATGTCGTGCTCTATGAAGAATTGAAGGTTGCTATCAGCCTACCCTCTCGGTCTTTTTTAATTTTGATACTTGATTTTATCAGTTTCTCTATTATCCTTGGTTAACGCAATCCATGTATATCGTTCCTATTTGCAGCATTTGAAACAGATGATTAAAGACTATGCCGCATCATACAGAAAGGACTGATTTATATACCACCATTGCCTGTTGGAATAACCTTTACATTCGATTTGGAAGTAATACAACACCAGGGGATTTTATTCCTTGAGTATTATTTACGAGAGTTTCACACTAAAACCCGGCACCCACGAAGTTTTCGACTCTGGCATCCATTTTTAAGAAGATGGTTGGTAATAGCCTGTGTTGCAAGTGGATGAAAAGTTGCGGTGGATGAAGGTGGGACCCCACAATGGTGGTGTGAGTTATTTATAGCAATACTGAAAGAACGAAAAATCGGGAATCAGTTTTGGGATATAACCTAATGTGTATATAGGTCTTGTACAATATTATTACCATGGCTTTTCATGGTACATTTGTATTTTATTGTTCTTGTGGTTTCTTGAGTCAGGTGGTACTTACTGTACAAGGCTTTTCTTTATCACTGACTTAGCAAGTTACTGAATAATGTATCTATCGTGAGTTGTGCCAATTTTGAGTTTTGACATTTCTAAATTGTATTATTAGTTGACATTACCTGTATAAAATTATTTTTTATTGAATATTTATATTAATTGATGCTATTGAAGTTCATTGTAATTGCACAAATACCACTAGGATATGATTATTTAGTATTTTTTATTTATTTAATGAAGGAACCGCATCCTATAGTTGCATTGAGTAAATGTATACTCTCGTATAATAGCTTGCAAATTATAAAGGAAACGTAAATAACACTAGACTTATCATGTTTGATAAGCTCGATCTAGCGATCGTTGACAATGGGATTCAAACTTTGATCAATTGATACAAGACTCACGTGTTTCAATCGTTAGGTCATCCATCCCTTAGCGTTATAATAATAAGTGTAAATTACAACCATCTCCCTCATGTAAAGTCTATTTACAAAAAAAACACCTAATCTTTTAGAAATGACATCTAGCCTCATGTAGTTTGTAATTTTCTTAAACCCACCCTCCTACAAAAGGGTGTTAATATACGAAATTTGCAAATTAAAGGGGGTGTAATGTAATTATGAAACAAATGAGGGGTGTCCCAACGGCCCAATTAATTGATAACAAAACAGCCCAATTAGTACTGTAAAGCCCAAATCATGTCCTGTTTTTCTCTCTCCCCTGAAAATCAGTTGAAGGGTTTTTGCTGTAGCAGAAGAAGAAGAAAAAAGGGGGGTTTGCGAAAATGGGGAGAAGAATTCTGAACGATGCCTTGCGAACAATCGTCAATGCAGAAAAGAGAGGTTTCGCTTCCACAGAGCTCAAGCCCATCTCTAATGTCATGTCTTCTTTCCTACAAATCATGAAACACAGAGGTAACACACACATGTATCAATTATTGGTAATTTATCTGTAATTTTCGAGAAATTGGATTTGTGCGAAAGTTTCAGAACGGCGCAATACCTCAATTTTCAATTCTTCTTCTTCTCAATTTGTTTTAATTGATGCCCACTTGATAAATCGAAGATATTGGAAAGTATTGATTGAAATGGTTTTTCTATTCAATTTTTTTTTTGAAGTTTTTATTGTTTTGGAAATGAGAATGGTGAATAAGCGTGGATTTACGATGAAATTCGACAGGTTACATTAAAGATTTTCAAGTGCATGATCCACATAGAGTAGGGAAGATAACTGTTCAGCTGCTGGGTAGGGTTAAAGATTGTAGGGCTATCACTTACCGACAAGATATTAAGTCTCATTACATCGAGAATTACAAAACCCGTACTCTTCCGACACATCAGGTTCGATTTCGTTTTGCGCTCAATTTTTACTGATTTGGTGATTTTGCACTGTCTTTGTTAGAACTGAAATTTGGATATGAGCTTTGTTGGTAGAATGCAAACTAGTGTATTTTTCTTCGATTTTATATAGATTGTGACTCAACGTGTGTTTTTATGAAATTTGATATTTACATTTTAGCGAAAGACTTGCAGTTCTTTTGTGGAGGTCAAAAGTTGTAGTTCGGAATCTCGGGATTGTCTATCAAAGCATCTTTTGGCTTGAAAAGAAGAATGCCACCTTATTAATTGACGTATTGAATGCCGCGACACTTCATATACACTCTAGATCATTAAGGATTATATCATCTCACTAACGGTTATTTGTGCTTCTTATGAACTGGATTCTCATTGTTGTTTTGTTTTGTTTTGTTTGAGAATAACAAATGAATGTACCTTGTGAAACACGGATATGTTCCGAAAGTATATTGTTTTCAACGTCTTAGGCGATGCTTCACTTCGAAAACCGAGGTATCAAACTGTTCCTATTTTTCGACTGAGTGCCTGAGTATGCGTATATATGTGCGTGTATTTGCTTGCCAAAATGGGTTCACACTTCACAGTATTACGTTGCAAAACGATAACATCACATCTTCTATTCATTGTTCTCGACTTTTATGAATGGTGTTCTTATCTGATTTGTTTATAGATTTTATTTTAGTTTCCTCAACTCTCTTACGTGATTAATTTTATCTTCAAATGCAGTGGGGCTATGTTGTAATTACAACACCAAATGGAGTGTTGGATCACGAGGAGGCTATTCGACAAAACGTTGGTGGTCAAGTGCTTGGATACTTCTACTGAAGATTTTATGGTTCTGGAGAGAGAAGATGGAGTAAGATGATTGATTGCCGTTTCCTTTTTCTGGTTTGTATCCTTTTTTTTTTTATTTCCGTTTAGGCAAGAAATGCTTAGGAAGAACTTCAATTATGTGGAGCTCCCATTGCAATAGTTTCAGGCAGAATTCGGTGACAATCAATTGTGTTGCATGTACTTCAATGTTACTGTGCCTTTTGCATCCTTTTCCAGCTTCTCAAGTAATAACATTATCTGCATTGAGTTCTTGATTGGTGTTACCATGAGATATAAATACATGTTTTTCTCTGTTTTTTTCCTCTCTTTCACGGTCTTGAATATATTGTCTGAAGGTGGATAGGAGTTTAAGGTGATAGATATAGACATCGTCTAGTGTTATTCAGTTGGTATAACTGTTGAAAATACGGTTCATTTTTCATCTGTAAGAAGATGCCATGTTGGGCATTGCTTGAAAGTGAGTTTTTTGGTTGGACAAAGGTGGAAACGAAGTGTACTGTATATAGTAGACAAATTGTTTCTCTTCTAACTTAATTACAATCCTATTTTACACAAAACATACTAAGTTGAAACGACGTGCAAAACTTTCTTAAAAGTTATGACGCTGCAAAACTTTCTTAAAAGTTATGAACTCCGTCCGATTAGGACGAATGCCCCTTTAGGTACAAACACATGTAGCTGCTCTCAAACAACTATCTACAATTCATTATTATCACCTGCTCTTTGTTGTTTGGGCTTCTGCAACGTCTTGAACTCGTCAAATTCAGGAGTCGCGCGCGTCGTGAATCCGTACATATCTTCTTATAGTTTAGACCAAAAATAATTTATCCATAACGAACATAACTCCATATTACCAACACACGAATTCACAGCAAACAACGAGAATTATACAACTCACACGAACAGCAGCAAATGTACGCAACGAAACATGAAGCAAATCACACAAAATCTACTCTACTTAGTTAAATCCATATAAATCAATACCGAATCACTTATTATGTGGTACTTAAAACCCCAAGCTTCATCGTCGATAAAACTATATTACCATTTTGCCTTACTAAACATTGCTCTACATTCCATAATCAAGAAAATAAAATACCAAAGAGAACACAAAGTCGACACATCAACGGAACGGGTTCGAAATTTATACACATAAAAGACATCTGAGATTTCGAGAAATCCAGACATTTTAATTTCACACCACAGGAATAAGCAGAAAATCAGCAATAAACCCTAGCTACACAGAATAATATAGCTCAGGTACCAAATAATTCTCCAGCCAAATTTTCTCAGCCGCGTGCCTTGAGCTCCGCCAGACGCCTGGTGAGATCATCCTCGTCGACCTTCTCGGTGTTCTTGACGGAAACTGCGTGGGCGGCGGCCTGAGGAAGGCCGACGGAAACCTCGAGACCGTAATCATCGGCCACCTGCTGCATAAGGCTGTTGACGTCACTTTCAGGTGTGGAGAGGGAGGTGCTGCCGGCCATGGAGCTCTCCATAAACTCGGCCTGGACTTCCATGTTGACGAACTGCTTCTCGAACTGGTCCATGGTCTCCGACATCTTCTGGAGGTTACCGGTGGCGAGGGTTGACTCGAGGGATTTGACGATGTTGCCCATGGACTTGCTGATTGAGGTCATCTTTGCCTGGGTGTCGAGGCGGGCGACGACGGCGTCGAGGCGGGAGGAGAGGCGGAGGTAATTCATCTGCTCGCTGCGCTTGCGGATGGAGTTCTCGGCGTAGATCCGGGCGCCGTCCATGTTGCCCTTCTCGATCGCCTTCTTCACCTTCAATTTCTCGGCTTTCTCCTCCTTCTCGCACTTGCGCGCCTGCCGCTGGAGGCTCTTCGACGTGAATTTCAGATCCATGATCTGCTGCATCAGCTTCTCTGCGTTTCCCATGGCGAATTTGATTCCTGTTTAGAGAGAGAAAGAAGAGAGAGAGGGAATGAATTTGGGGAAATGTGTGGACTTTTTGATTTTGGGGGAGAAGATGGATTCTTATTAGGGTTCTTAACGACTACGCTTCCGCGATTTTTATTAAACGCGTTAAGGAATAAGCAAAAATAGCTATTTACTACTGTGCCCCTTTTAGTTACTAAGTAGATTTGTTCGACCCTACACCCAGTGAAAAACACCCGGTGGGTCTTCTGCTGCCACGTGTCACTTTTTTGTATTTTATAATAGATTCCCCGCTAGGGTTTATCTTTAGGGGTTTTAGAAAAATAAAAAAAGGGTGGTGATATACGCAGGCCAAATTAAACATTCATGCACTTTTTTACCATGGTTTTTTACCTTTTTACCATAACTATTTACCTTTTGTACTATTCCTACCAAATCCTATAAAATATAAAACTCAACATTCAAAGTGAAAAATTTCAGATATTCAACAATTTTTGCGATGGATCCAAACAACTTAGACCCAAATGTAAGTTTTTCGTTTTTTTCCCGAAAATTCATCTACTCGTGTGAATTTACGTGAGCACTTGCCAAGTGCTCGCGTAAATTCACACGAGCTCAAGAACAATTTTTTTATTCATGTGCTCGTGTGAATTTACGCGAGCACTTGGCAAGTGCTCACGTAAATTCACACGAGTAGATGAATTTTCGGGAAAAAAACGAAAAACTTACATTTGGGTCTAAGTTGTTTGAATCCATCGCAAAAATTGCCGCCTCTAAGAAATTTTTCACTTGGAAGGGTGAATTTAAAAGGGGATAGGATTTGGGAGGAATAGTACAAAAGAAAAATAGTTATGAAAAAAGAAGAAAAAAAAACCATGGAAAAAAAAGTGCATGATTGTTTATTTTGGGCCGGCTTACACCCCCCACCTTTTTTTTTTTGTGGCGAAAACCCTTAAAGAAAACCCGAAG